ACCTCATTTTCGTTAATTATTGATAATGTTAATTGTGTTTGAAATCTGTAGTTCTTAAAGATTTCCAGCATTAAATTCATTCATGATCGACAAAGCAGGCAAGTCATGTCTCGTGCTTATAAATTTGTATAGCATTTGCATATTATTAGTTACATAGTGTGGTAATGTTAAGTTTCAACAAACGAAGAAATTGATGATGAACGATGAAATAAATGCAGAAAACACATTAAAAGCTAACAAGTTGTTATTGTTGGCATTTGTTTTTGTATATACCAATGAAATTGGGTTCTTTATATTGATTGATTGATTGATTGTTGGTTGCTTAACGTCCAGTGGCAAATATTTCATGCATATTCAGGACGAGAACAAGTTCACAATAAATACAATAGGTAGGTTCTGTAAGAGGGGCGTCCGGGATTAAGGTCGGAGAAATTTAGACTGCCACGGGAAATGAGGGTATATTGGATAGGGACAGAAATTTAGCCTTGCAACAGGTCACCTACGGACCCCTCAAAGAGTTGTTGCAAGGGTTCTTAACGTGCAAAGAACGTGGCACTCTCTTTACACGAGGCATCGGATTTAACGTCCCCATTCTGACCGGACGTGGCTGCAAATTTGTACATCCAGCACAGCCAAACGGACGCCACTCTTTAGCACGGGTTTTACTGCCGGTCGGAGGAAGACCAATGGTGACCATACTTCTATTCCCCAGTCAGCCTTGGGGGTCTTTATATTGAAGACTTGATCACTTTGATAGGCCACTAGTCTAAATGCCACATGTTAAGATAGTCGGTAAGATAAATTCGTTACACAGTGTGCTAGTGACCTAATACGATATACATGGGGTCAGTAAATTAAATATGGGGCGAGAGCTTCGCACTATGTTACTAATAATACCATGTTAGCATGCAGACTTAGTAAGGTAACCGTTTTATTTTGATAGATAAAGTCCCGATATTTGTAAATGTCCTGCTTATTTCAACGAATTTACCATTTTAAACGAAAGAGGTGCTGTTTCATATCTAATTTGAATATACTGATAACAAAAAACTTCTTATAAAATTATCAACAAATATATATGTATTTAAAAAAACTAAAAGCCTTTTATTTGAACGAATGTAACGGACCTCGTAATTTATAGAAGAAGAAAAATCTCAGTTGTGCGCCCTTAGTCATTTTCTTGTTTTTTGACAATAAAATATGACTTGTTTAAAGTAAAAGCATGTCATTGTATGTACACGTACCTTATTTCTATATGTTTAAAGTAAAAGCATGTCATTGTATGTACACGTACCTTATTTCTATATGTTTAAAGTAAAAGCATGTCATTGTATGTACACGTACCTTATTTCTATATGTTTAAAGTAAAAGCATGTCATTGTATGTACACGTACCTTATTTCTATATGTTTAAAGTGAAAGCATGTCATTGTATGTACACGTACCTTATTTCTATATGTTTAAAGTAAAAGCATGTCATTGTATGTACACGTACCTTATTTCTATATGTTTAAAGTGAAAGCATGTCATTGTATGTACACGTACCTTATTTCTATATGTTTAAAGTAAAAGCATGTCATTGTATGTACACGTACCTTATTTCTATATGTTTAAAGTAAAAGCATGTCATTGTATGTACACGTACCTTATTACTATATGTTTAAAGTAAAAGCATGTCATTGTATGTACACGTACCTTATTTCTATATGTTTAAAGTGAAAGCATGTCATTGTATGTACACGTACCTTATTTCTATATGTTTAAAGTAAAAGCATGTCATTGTATGTACACGTACCTTATTTCTATATGTTTAAAGTAAAAGCATGTCATTGTATGTACACGTACCTTATTACTATATGTTTAAAGTAAAAGCATGTCATTGTATGTACACGTACCTTATTTCTATATGTTTAAAGTAAAAGCATGTCATTGTATGTACACGTACCTTATTACTATATGTTTAAAGTAAAAGCATGTCATTGTATGTACACGTACCTTATTTCTATATGTTTAAAGTAAAAGCATGTCATTGTATGTACACGTACCTTATTTCTATATGTTTAAAGTGAAAGCATGTCATTGTATGTACACGTACCTTATTTCTATATGTTTAAAGTAAAAGCATGTCATTGTATGTACACGTACCTTATTTCTATATGCATGTCATTGTATGTACACGTACCTTATTACTATATGTTTAAAGTAAAAGCATGTCATTGTATGTACACGTACCTTATTTCTATATGTTTAAAGTAAAAGCATGTCATTGTATGTACACGTACCTTATTACTATATGTTTAAAGTAAAAGCATGTCATTGTATGTACACGTACCTTATTTCTATATGTTTAAAGTAAAAGCATGTCATTGTATGTACACGTACCTTATTTCTATATGTTTAAAGTGAAAGCATGTCATTGTATGTACACGTACCTTATTTCTATATGTTTAAAGTAAAAGCATGTCATTGTATGTACACGTACCTTATTTCTATATGTTTAAAGTAAAAGCATGTCATTGTATGTACACGTACCTTATTACTATATGTTTAAAGTAAAAGCATGTCATTGTATGTACACGTACCTTATTACTATATGTTTAAAGTGAAAGCATGTCATTGTATGTACACGTACCTTATTTCTATATGTTTAAAGTAAAAGCATGTCATTGTATGTACACGTACCTTATTTCTATATGTTTAAAGTAAAAGCATGTCATTGTATGTACACGTACCTTATTACTATATGTTTAAAGTAAAAGCATGTCATTGTATGTACACGTACCTTATTTCTATATGTTTAAAGTAAAAGCATGTCATTGTATGTACACGTACCTTATTTCTATATGTTTAAAGTAAAAACATGTCATTGCATGTATACGTACCTTATTTCTATCAATAAAATACTAATAACTACTATATTTATTCTGAGAATTGTACACCAATTTGTTGGAAAAATAAAATGAGTTGCCCTTACATCTGGTGCAGTGTCAATCGGCAGTAAGAGTTTTACATCATGGTTTATTTCGGTCAAAAGTATTATTCTTATTTTCTCTTTTGACCACAATAATTTTCTCAATTGTTTATTACAGCTTATAACCAGCCACACCATAAAGCTGTCAAATAGGATTCCGATGATTTGTGGACTTTTTTACTTGAATTTGTTAGGGAAATAAACACGTGGTGCTTGATAACATACAAAGCAAAAAAACAAGATTATTTCTGATAATAGCAGACAATTCAAAATAGACTAGCACAACTAAGAAAATTAACCAAAGAAAAAAGCTAGCCCATAATCTGCGTGTATAAAAGGGTATCATGTTAGTTTGTTTTTTTTTTTGTGTTTTTCTGTGTGTGTTTTTTGTAACGAAATTTTAAAAAATGATCAAAGCAAAACACTACGATACATGTCTTGCTTTAAAATTGCGACATCCGATAATAATATTTCAGAAATTTTGATTAAATTAACGATCTTAACATTTAAGGACAAACAAATGTGGCAGTATAAAGGGGCTGCCTAAGCTATATTTTTTGACCGCGTCGCCAACTATCATGCCAAAGTAATGAATAAAACTTTGGGCGATTTATTTGAAAAACTACAATGAGAAAATTCTAAAAACAATGAAACCGTTTTGACAAGCGGTTCTCTTTCATATTATCAACATTTTTAGGATGATGTAATATCATGATTACCAAGTGTGGTTCAAAGTTTAGGAAAATGCACAAACATTATATTATTATATTACCCTCGCACCGAAGGAGGATGTATACTTGTTTGCGTCCGTACGTCCCAGAGGAACTATAAATCAGAGTTTCCTGAACTTTGGTAGCAAGCTTCATGTGAGAATGCGTGTGATGCGTTTTCACATTTATCGCTTATCACCTTACTGATTACCGAGTACTTATATATTTAACACATAATTGTCATGTATAATATTCGTCGCATTTTTATAAGGAACAAAAACAATCAGAACTTAAATGGATGTCAGACGTTAGTGCAATCTCGGACAATTAAGCGACCAATTTCACAATAAATCTTACGAGAAAAAAATCTCTTAAGTCTTGAACATTTCAGGATAACTAACGATCAATTTTAGTCGTAAGATTTTTTTGTGAAGAGATCTTTGACAATAGTATATTATGTTTGCCAGCGTCATTTAACTTGGTATTAAAAACATCAGGTTTAAGGTATAGTTTGATGTGAAGAACATCTGACGTCAAGATGTGGTTTATAGCAGAGTACATCACAAAAATATAAAAACAATCTGGCAAATGCCCTTATAAGATCAAAATCCTGGTTCACTGGTTTAATTCCTTAAAAAATCAAGTATTAAAGAATGAGATCAGGCCAGTTTGAATTGTTGCTGACGACTTTTTTTTTACACAAAATTATAAATTTAGCATATTTTTTTTTGTATTGCATCGAAGGATATTCTTAACCAACTTGAATTAGTTTATATCTGAAAGACCAAACATATTAACTAATTTTGTTTTTGGTAAATAATTTCCTTGTCATTCATGTTTGCGATAATTACTCAGCATTTGCTAAAGTCTACCAAAATTACATTTGTTTGGCAAATAATTCAGAAATACCCAATATTGTTTTGAAAACCTTAAAGTATACACGTGAAACTTCTTATAGTAAAGAATGGAAGACTTTATGAAAATGGGCCCTGTTGTGAAATAAAATCGGGGTGCTCTACCTCTTTCTTTTCCATAAAAAGAATAAAAAAGGGGGGTGTTTGGTAAACACCAATAAGATAGCAAGCAGTCAATGCTGCACAGTTTAATCACAAAATAGTACTTTTGTAATAGTTCTCTTTATTTTTAACCTTATCAATAAATAAAGGTAACTAAAACTAACATCAATAGGGATAACGTATTTAAGACGAATAACACCACTCGATTTCGAATAAACTTGGATTATATGTGACCCCAAAACGCAATAAAACGATGTAAGGAAATAAACATTATTCATCTGTTTTAACACTTGCATCTAACAGTATGAAGGTTTTTGTTTTGCTAGGTATTTTAACTGTTTCCTTTAGACTGTGTACGGGCGCTTGTTTTATGATACGACAAAAAGGTAAGTCATTTCTGGAATTCCGTTTGAAGTGTTTTTGAGATAAAATACTTAGGTAAACAAAAAAAATTAGTGCTAGCAAACAGTATGAGGATTAAAACATAAATGATAGGTTTGAATGCAAAGAAAAGAGGCAGTTTTCAATTTGTAATTAGAATTCGTAAATCAACAAAGGAACATCTCAAGACAATGGCCGAAATCAGGAAAAAAGGGACGGTAAACGACAAAAGAAACATTGGAAACTTAATAAAGAATAAAGAGAGGCAAAAGATACCAGACTGATATTCAAACTCATAAGTCGAAGACAAACTGACTAAGCCATGGTAAAAACGAAAAACGACGAAAAGACAAACTGACTAAGCCATGGTAAAAACGAAAAACGACGAAAAGACAAACAGTAGTCTACAAACACCAACATAGAAAACTGAATAGACTGAGCTAAATGAGAAACCTACCAAATGACTGTGGTATTATCAGGTGCTCCGGGAGGGTTGGGTTGCTTTTTACAACTTTTCGATTATGTATTTTTTAAGATTTCTTAAAAAAAGTAATACACGGGGCCCGTCGCTAGGTCTATATTTTAATATTTGAGAGCGTCAACTAACCTAAAAATTTACCACAAAGTTTGTTTCTGTATAAAGACTATTTAATAACGTTATTAAACTGCAAAATACTTGCGATTATGAAACTGACCGGTTTTCCACGTTATGAACCTCTGACATTTTCAGTTCACAAAAACGAAATCGAAGTTTTTCGCAAATTTTACATGAAATTTCCAAGGCGAAAAACAGAGGTCGCCTCCGCTGCTGTTTGTAAAATGTTCGAATGTACTTTGAAAAAATAATTATGTATTATTTGTAGGATGTTCGAATGTCTTTAATAAAGCTAGGTACTATATGTAGGATGTTTAAATGTCTTTTGAAAAAAGTGATGTACAATTGATAGGATGTTCGAACTTCTTTTAAAAAGAGGTATGTACTGTTTGTGGGATGTTCCAATGGCTTTTGAATAAAGTTATGTTCTGATTACAGGGTGTTACCATGATAAGATAGGCTACCTAATTCCTCCGAGAGGAAGTATAACAGTGTGGACTCCTGATTGTGTAGATTGTACCTGTGATTCTGCTGGAATCAGTTGTTGTTCGTATGTATTACAATCAGTTGTTGTTCGTATGTATTACAATCAGTAGTTGTTCGTATGTATTACCATCAGTATGCTATACATGTGTTACGTCATGCCTACATAATACCATCATTTTTATTTGTAATCTTTGAAAAACAATGTTTTTAATTGTCAAAAATGAAAATGATGAATTGATATACTGAAGAAGAATAAGAGATTTGGGTATATGTCAAAGAGACAGCAACCCAACAGCACTAACAAAATGCATTATTTAATGTGATATCTAATGCATGTGATGCCACAACTTAGTTTAGACGTGTAGCAAGATGGTAATTAAAATGTCATTTTAAACACCATAAAATACGCATACCCCATAATGATAAATTCATATAAGTAACCTCTTTGTTAACTGTTCAGGATTATTAAAAACTGATCCAATATAATGTCATTTTGATGATAAATCAGAAGAATTTTGACAATAATTCAAAATAATTGATCACTCATTTACGTGTACATATTTACAGGACTGCAGGTACACCGACAGATTTCCCAGATGACTGTGAGATAATAATGGATGGATGCTATGCTAACGTGGTGAAGAAAAATGATCATACCATAAAGTGTCCAATCTTTGCTATGGTTGGATAATAATAGTTGCCTATCTATCACTACTGCGGTTTGACTGTGTGCTTGCCAACAGTTTTCTACGTTATCTGTTGAAAAAAATTCAACATGAAAATTAATGAAAATATTCGAAAGAAAAACGTTCACAATGATGACATGTATGTAACACTCGGACTGTTTTTTTTTATTTAATTGCCTTATCTTTATTAAAGATATTTGAATTATTTAACTTGTACTAAATGCCACTTTCAAATACAATAACTTCGTCTAGATTTTACTCTCACACTAGGTAACCAAATTAGTAATTAAAAGAAAGGATTGTTGCAAAATATGTACAGTCCGACGAGAACCTACGTCATTTGTTCCTCTGCATATAGAGTCTATATAAAACAATCGCATGTAAATTACTATTATTTATAGCGACCATTGCCAACATTTTTTTTTGTTTATGTTTAAACAACCCTGGGTTTTCATTTGGAACGCCAAATGAAAAAGAGTGGTACATTCCTTGACCACTGTACCACCAAAAACAGTAAATTGAAGAGGAAAAAAAAACAAAAAAAAACAGACAACCACATGGCAAAAATACAGTTCTTGCATTGTTCGGGCGAATTCAACCAGACAACTGCCAAGACACTGAGTGCAAGTAAATGGACTAACAGAAAGATCATCAAAATGGTAACAATCAAAGTCAAAATCTACTGAATAAACCTTCGTGAGGGTCCCGATTTGGGTGTCTTTTTTTTCTGTTTACTTAAATTTTTAAGCTATTTCTAACTATTCTTTATATTTTTTCGGACATTATTCTCTATTTATTTCAATTTTAGCACCCCATTATTCTCTGTTCTATATTTGTTCGTCCTATTTTCTCAATTTTTTGTCCAATTTTTGGGTAGATTTTGCCCATTATTCTCTATTCTGTAAACCCGATCCAGATCCTCCTCCATCACAAGGCACATATCAAAAAGGTGTAAAGTTGGTTGACTGCTAAGGAATTTCTGTTTCCCCGTGCCGTAGCCACAATTCCGAATGCTCATTATCCCCATATCTTTTATTGCCATTAGCAACACGACGGATTCCACCAATGGGTAGAAACAGTTACTGCTTACCCTTATAGATTGATTCCACCAATGGGTAGAAACAGTTACTGCTTACCCTTATAGATTGATTACACCAATGGGTAGAAACAGTCACTGCTTACCCTTATAGATTGATTCCACCAATGGGTAGAAACAGTCACTGCTTACCCTTATAGATTGATTACACCAATGGGTAGAAACAGTTACTGCTTACCCTTATAGATTGATTACACCAATGGAAAGAAACAGTTACTGCTTACCCTTATAGATTGATTCCACCAATGGGGTAGAAACAGTTACTGCTTACCCTTATAGATTGATTCCACCAATGGGTAAAAACAGTTACTGCTTACCTTTATAGATTGATTCCACCAATGGGGTAGAAACAGTTACTGCTTACCCTTATAGATTGATTCCATCAATGGGGTAGAAACAGTTACTGCTTACCCTTATAGATTGATTACACCAATGGGTAGAAACAGTTACTGCTTACCCTTGTAGATTGATTACACCAATGGGTAGAAACAGTTACTGCTTACCCTTATAGATTGACTCCACCAATGGGGTAGAAACAGTTACTGCTTACCCTTATAGATTGATTGCACCAATGGGTAAAAACAGTTACTGCTTACCCTTATAGATTGATTCCACCAATGGGTAGAAACAGTTACTGCTTACCCTTATAGATTGATTACACCAATGGGTAGAAACAGTAACTGCTTACCCTTATAGATTGATTCCACCAATGGATAGAAACAGTCACTGCTTACCTTTATAGATTGACTCCACCAATGGGGTAGAAACAGTTACTGCTTACCCTTATAGATTGATTACACCAATGGGCAGAAACAGTTAATGCTTACCCTTATAGATTGATTCCACCAATGGGTAGAAACAGTTACTGCTTACCTTTATAGATTGATTCCACCAATGGGGTAGAACAGTTACTGCTTACCCTTATAGATTGATTCCACAAATGGGGTAGAAACAGTTACTGCTTACCCTTATAGATTGATTCCACAAATGGGGTAGAAACAGTTACTGCTTACCCTTATAGATTGACTCCACCAATGGATAGAAACAGTCACTGCTTACCTTTATAGATTGACTCCACCAATGGGGTAGAAACAGTTACTGCTTACCCTTATAGATTGACTACACCAATGGGTAGAAACAGTTACTGCTTACCCTTATAGATTGATTCCACCAATGGGTAGAAACAGTTACTGCTTACCTTTATAGATTGGTTCCACCAATGGGGTAGAACAGTTACTGCTTACCCTTATAGATTGATTCCACAAATGGGGTAGAAACAGTTACTGCTTACCCTTATAGATTGATTCCACAAATGGGGTAGAAACAGTTACTGCTTACCCTTATAGATTGATTACACCAATGGGTAGAAACAGTTACTGCTTACCCTTATAGGTTGATTCCACCAATGGGGTAGAAACAGTTACTGCTTACCCTTATAGATTGACTCCACCAATGGGGTAGAAATAGTTACTGCTTACCCTTATAGATTGATTCCACCAATGGGATAGAAGCAGTTACTGCTTACCCTTATAGATTGATTACACCAATGGGATAGAAACAGTTACTGCTTACCCTTATAGATTGATTACACCAATGGGATAGAAACAGTTACTGCTTACCCTTATAGATTGATTACACCAATGGGTAGAAACAGTTACTGCTTACCCTTATAGATTGATTCCACCAATGGGTAAAAACAGTTACTGCTTACCTTTATAGATTGATTCCACCAATGGGGTAGAAATAGTTACTGCTTACCCTTATAGATTGATTCCATCAATGGGGTAGAAACAGTTACTGCTTACCCTTATAGATTGATTACACCAATGGGTAGAAACAGTTACTGCTTACCCTTGTAGATTGATTACACCAATGGGTAGAAACAGTTACTGCTTACCCTTATAGATTGACTCCACCAATGGGGTAGAAACAGTTACTGCTTACCCTTATAGATTGATTGCACCAATGGGTAGAAACAGTTACTGCTTACCCTTATAGATTGATTCCACCAATGGGTAGAAACAGTTACTGCTTACCCTTATAGATTGATTACACCAATGGGTAGAAACAGTAACTGCTTACCCTTATAGATTGATTCCACCAATGGATAGAAACAGTCACTGCTTACCTTTATAGATTGACTCCACCAATGGGGTAGAAACAGTTACTGCTTACCCTTATAGATTGATTACACCAATGGGCAGAAACAGTTAATGCTTACCCTTATAGATTGATTCCACCAATGGGTAGAAACAGTTACTGCTTACCTTTATAGATTGATTCCACCAATAGGGTAGAACAGTTACTGCTTACCCTTATAGATTGATTCCACAAATGGGGTAGAAACAGTTACTGCTTACCCTTATAGATTGATTCCACAAATGGGGTAGAAACAGTTACTGCTTACCCTTATAGATTGACTCCACCAATGGATAGAAACAGTCACTGCTTACCTTTATAGATTGACTCCACCAATGGGGTAGAAACAGTTACTGCTTACCCGTATAGATTGACTACACCAATGGGTAGAAACAGTTACTGCTTACCCTTATAGATTGATTCCACCAATGGGTAGAAACAGTTACTGCTTACCTTTATAGATTGGTTCCACCAATGGGGTAGAACAGTTACTGCTTACCCTTATAGATTGATTCCACAAATGGGGTAGAAACAGTTACTGCTTACCCTTATAGATTGATTCCACAAATGGGGTAGAAACAGTTACTGCTTACCCTTATAGATTGATTACACCAATGGGTAGAAACAGTTACTGCTTACCCTTATAGGTTGATTCCACCAATGGGGTAGAAACAGTTACTGCTTACCCTTATAGATTGACTCCACCAATGGGGTAGAAATAGTTACTGCTTACCCTTATAGATTGATTCCACCAATGGGATAGAAACAGTTACTGCTTACCCTTATAGATTGATTACACCAATGGGATAGAAACAGTTACTGCTTACCCTTATAGATTGATTACACCAATGGGATAGAAACAGTTACTGCTTACCCTTATAGATTGATTACACCAATGGGTAGAAACAGTTACTGCTTACCCTTATAGATTGATTACACCAATGGGATAGAAACAGTTACTGCTTACCCTTATAGATTGACTCCACCAATGGGGTAGAAACAGTTTCTGCTTACCCTTATAGATTGATTACATCCCTGGTTTTTGGTGGAGTTTTCTTTGTATAAACTTGTTTGTCTGTTTGTACATTTTTAGAGAGCATGGTGTTGTTGGTAATTCCTCGACTGTCCCTTGGTATCTTCTCCTCAGAAGTATTTGCCATCGTTGGAGAACTTACTGACTTTTTGGCCGAGGATACAATCGATGAATGATTGTCCCACGACAGAATGGTATGAAATCAAAATATACCAAATTTGCTGTTAGGTTCGGTCAATAGTAGGGTTCAATACATGTACAGGAGATACAGTGGATAGGCGATGGTTCATTAAAAGGATATCATGAACCCGGAGTGCGAATGAAATCTTTTTAGCGATCCAACGCTTATGCAATGTATCTTTTATAAACTATTGTTGTGACTTCTTTTTCAAAATGACATGCAGTTAAGTAAGCAAGTAAGTAAGTAAATAATTAGGTACGTAAGTAAGTAAGTGAGAAGGAAAGTACGTAAGTAAGTACATTTTATTTAGAGTCAGCACACAATCACAGTATGTACAATTAACAATAAACATGAGCTTAAGAAAGCTCTGACAACCGACTATAACATATATACAAAACATCACAATAGACAAAGTCTCATCTAAGACAAATACACATAAGTATAAAGCTATTAGAACACACAATTATGTAATAAGATTAACACAAAGTAGCATCCAATAAAATAATCATCAGATTGTAATAAAACAAAATTAGGGTCAGAAGCACTTTTAAAATGTCGCATAAATACATAAATAATAATTTTTGTCGTTAGATATATATATTTAAGTGAAAAATCATTAATATCTTTGCACTGGTTTAGAAGAATTGTGTTAACGCATGCGGAAGAATATCTCAAGAACGTTTTGCGGAAAAACATGAATGCCTATTCAATCCAATCTATTAGAAAAATCGAATTATTACAGAAGAGTGTCCACCATGCACTTGCACTGCACTATTATTAGAATAGTAAAGTAGAATAATATACAAATGGATGAAAATGATATATACATGCAACTTTTATATACAAATATTGATATAATATACAACAACAAACCAGAGTATACTGATTTGTATCACTACAATCAGAGACATATAAACTAGAGTCCCACGATATTCAGTACTTTGATTATAGTTGGTTCTTATGTTGTACTGTTATGCCACTGTCCCAGGTTAGGGGAGGGTTGGGATCCCGCTAACATGTTTTACCCCGCCACATTCTGTATGTATGTGCCTGTCCCAAGTCATTGTCGTTTTTTGGTGTGTTACATATTTGTTTTTTTTTTCATTTTTTTTTGTACAATAACTAGGCCGTTAGTTTTCTCGTTTGAATTCTTTTTACATTTGTGATTTCTGGGCCTTTTATAGCTGACTATGCGGTATGGGCTTTGCATATTGTTGAAGGCCGTACGGTGACCTATAGCTTTTAATGTCTGTGTCATTTGGTCTCTTGTAAGGAGTTGTCTCATTGGCAATCATACCACATCTTTTTTTTAATTTTCATGTATACAAGTATATATTAAAGTTATTCAATTTGAATAAACTTGAATAGTGAATAGTGCAAAAAAACACAGTTCACTATTCATGAATTTTGAATAGTGAAAAGTGAAAAGTGAATAGTGAACGTACTTCAGCCCGGTCAATGAAGTTATAGTAAGTTGTAAAATTCACAACAAGAAAAAGCTCTATCTAGCTTTTATCAGCATATAGCAAGGAATGTGACCAATATGAAATTATTTGAATTTAGATGTGGCAATCACTGTTTACTAGTGGAGACAGGAAGGTGGCATAAATGTTCAAAGAGAAGTGAGATTGTCACCATTGCGACCCTCCTGACTTCTGCGATGAATTTTATTATGCAATGTCTTGTCCTTTTGTCAAAAAAGAACAATATAAATTTTTACAACACTATTGTCGTACAAAATTGAAATGTTGATATTCTTAAATTCAATCAAGTATTCACCGCAGTTAAAATTGATTTACTAGAAAAAATTGTGTAGATTTATTGAAATTATATATCAGTGAAAGTCTGTCCTACTGGTTAAAGTGCAATAATTTATGTAATCTTTGTTATATTATGTATCTTATCATCTCTCTTAATTTAGTTAACGAGAATAAAGATCCATTCATTTATTAGAAGTATACAGGTATTGGATTTAAATCATGACAAAAACCTTTAAACAAAATTGCACACACTTTCAGTATACCGTAAAGGCATCGCCTTTGACATCGGAAAGAGGGTGCTCTCTGAATTGTCTGCGTTTCAACGTGTTAAAAATTATGTTTGGGAAGACCCCCGATGCTATTGTTTCTATAAGACACCGAGCACCCGCTCGTCGTTATAAACACGCGTTACAAATGCGCACTGTTAAATGGACGATCCACCTTAACTATTTTAACATTTATTATCAAACCCAAACACATTAAGATTTTATAACTTATTTGGTGTAACAGGTTGGAATGATTTTAATCCCCTACAAAGTACAATTCTTCATAGTATTACGACGGATTATGAAGTGAAAATATCGATGAAGTTGCGACGTGATGAAGTTTTGTATTTTGGTTTTATTGTATGTACTAATTGAAAAACAATGCTATTCTTGGTGCATTTATTACGAAAAGCAAGGTAGGTATACTTTCATATTACAACATTTAAGATAATATAAACTGCCTTTCAAATATTTATTGCTATGCAAAGAATGAATGTCCATGGATTGAAAGTTAGGTAAGTGAAATCCCTATTTTACTTTTGATAAAAAAAGAAAACACAACTTAACACATATTTTATCTTCTCATTTGAACATGAAGCTTGTAATAAATCGCATATAACATCTTATTTCAGTTATAGATGTCTTGGTGATACATTTTATAAGATGATACAGACAGTAAAAAATGACAATGAATTTACTCCAATTAGATTAAATATTTCCAATTGACATAGGGTTGATCGATTACAGACACACAGAGCGGTGTATCTTTTCCTACAAACAAATGTTTTGCCACTTAATTTTCAAGTCTGTATATGTTCATGCTAAGTTTAGATCATACATTACCTTGATCCATAGCACATTTTACTCTGTGCCAATGGACATTTTCTAAGTAAACAAAAACAATATGAACGCTTTAAATATTCTGATTATCTATTTCAGTAATTCTTTAAGATATACTTATCGTTTTGTTTTACAAGATAGTGCCCTTTCCATTTGGTTGTTACTATGGAGGAGACTACATACCGAATGAACAAACAAAAGTGATAAATTGTATGAGTTGTTTCTGCAGACACAGTGGACTACTTAGGTGTTGTCCGTAAGTATTGTATGAGTTGTTTGTTACTATGGAGGAGACTACATACCGAATGAACAAACACAAGTGATAAATTGTATGAGTTGTTTCTGTAGACACAGTGGACTACTTAAGTGTTGTCCGTAAGTATTGTATGAGTTGTTTGTTACTATGGAGGAGACTACATACCGAATGATAAAACAAAAGTGATAAATTGTATGAGTTGTTTCTGTAGACACAGTGGACTACTCAGGTGTTGTCCGTAAGTACTGTATGAGTTGTTTGTTACTATGGAGGAGACTAAATACCGAATGTACAAACAAAAGTGATAAATTGTATGAGTTGTTTCTGTAGACACAGTGGACTACTCAGGTGTTGTCCGTAAGTACTGTATGAGTTGTTTGTTACTATGGAGGAGACTACATACCGAATGTACAAACAAAAGTGATAAATTGTATGAGTTGTTTCTGTAGACACAGTGGACTACTCAGGTGTTGTCCGTAAGTACTGTATGAGTTTGTTGTTACTATGGAGGAGACTACATACCGAATGTACAAACAAAAGTGATAAATTGTATGAGTTGTTTCTGCAGACACAGTGGACTACTCAGGTGTTGTCCGTAAGTACTGTATGAGTTGGTTGTTACTATGGAGGAGACTACATACCGAATGTACAAACAAAAGTGATAAATTGTATGAGTTGTTTCTGTAGACACAGTGGACTACTCAGGTGTTGTCCGTAAGTACTGTATGAGTTGGTTGTTACTATGGAGGAGACTACATACCGAATGAACAAACAAAAGTGATAAATTGTATGAGTTGTTTCTGTAGACACAGTGGACTACTCAGGTGTTGTCCGTAAGTAATGTATGAGTTGTTTGTTACTATGGAGGAGACTACATACCGAATGTTAAAACAAAACTGATAAATTGTATGAGTTGTTTCTGTAGACACAGTGGGCTACTCAGGTGTTGTCCGTAAGTATTGTATGAGTTGTTTGTTACTATGGAGGAGACTACATACCGAATGAACAAACTAAAGTGATAAATTGTATGAGTTGTTTCTGTAGACACAGTGGACTACTCAGGTGTTGTCCGTAAGTACTGTATGAGTTGGTTGTTACTATGGAGGAGACTACATACCGAATGTACAAACAAAAGTGATAAATTGTATGAGTTGTTTCTGTAGACACAGTGGACTACTCAGGTGTTGTCCGTAAGTACTGTATGAGTTGTTTCTGTAGACACGGTGGACTACTTAGGTGTTGTCCGTAAGGACTGTATAAGTTGTTTCTGTAGACACGGTGGACTACTCAGGTGTTGTCCGTAAGTACTGTATGAGTTATTTCTGTAACCACAGTGGACTACTTTGGTGTTGTCCGTAAGTATTGTATGAGTTGCTTCTGCAGACATGGTACTTCTCAGATGTTATCCGTAAGTAGTGTATGAGTAGTTTCTGTAGACACATTGGACTTCTTAGGTGTTGTCCGTAAGTACTGTATGAGTTGTTTCTGTAGACACAGTGGACTACTCAGATGTTGTCCGTAAGTATTGTATGAGTTATTTCTGCAGACACAGTGGACTACTTAGGTGTTGTCCGTAAGTATTGTATGAGTTGTTTCTGCAGACATGGTTCTTCTCAGATGTTATCCGTAAGTAGTGTATGAGTAGTTTCTGTAGACACAGTGGACTTCTTAGGTGTTGTCCGTAAGTACTGTATGAGTTGTTTCTGTAGACACAGTGGACTACTCAGATGTTGTCCGTAAGTATTGTATGAGTTATTTCTGCAGACACAGTGGACTACTTAGGTGTTGTCCGTAAGTATTGTATGAGTTGTTTCTGCAGACATGGTTCTTCTCAGATGTTATCCGTAAGTAGTGTATGAGTAGTTTCTGTAGACACAGTGGACTTCTTAGGTGTTGTCCGTAAGTACTGTATGAGTTGTTTCTGTAGACACAGTGGACTACTCAGATGTTGTCCGTAAGTATTGTATGAGTTATTTCTGCAGACACAGTGGACTACTTAGGTGTTGTCCGTAAGTATTGTATGAGTTGTTTCTGCAGACATGGTTCTTCTCAGATGTTATCCGTAAGTAGTGTATGAGTTGTTTCTGTAGACACAGTGAACTATACTTAGGTGTTGTCCGTAAGTAGTGTATGAGTTATTTCTGCAGACACAGAGGACTATTCAGGTGTTGTCCGTAAGTATTATATGAGTTGTTTCTGTAGACACAGTGGACTACTTAGGTGTTGTCCGTAAGTATTGTATGGGTTGTTTCTGTAGACACAGTGGACTACTTAGGTGTTGTCCGTAAGTATTGTACGAGTTGTTTCTGCAGACACAGTGGACTACTTAGGTGTTGTCTGTGAATGTATGTGATAGTTACGATTCATATAGAGATCTGCAAAAGTAGAATGCATGGTTTCAAATTATTGATTATGATTCCAATTTTCATCATAAACTTTGAAAAAAATATTCAAACAAAAACCAGAGACATATGATTGTGTCTACAGACATATAATTTATGTCTCTGGTAAGACAGATAAATTTTCAACGTTAACTTTATTGAGAACAATTATTTCAATATTTGAATTATATGAACGATTTTGTTGATAGATATGAATGTGAAAAGCTTTACAACTGTATGATACTCAGAAATCCTGACAAAGTCAATTCACTGAGTTATAATTACAGAAGTAAGCATACGTGTTTTTTTTTCCTTTTTCGTTTGTTTCTCATGAGAGGCAGTGTGTGTTTCAATAACTATGGTGTATTCACAAGAAATCTGAAATCAAAATCTGCTTTCGGAAAATTGAAATATGATATGATGTCTTTTCCAGGACGAGGGGCACAATGAACGGCGAAGAATGTCGACAAAAGCCAGTTAAAATGCTGCATCGAATTATGTATAAAGAACTGAAAAACATACATAGATATGGCGGTGGCTACATGCCACAAAAGCTGAATAAAAAGTTTTGAAAAGTAGAATTTGTTTATTTTTCATTTGATATAATCCTTTTCGAACACCAAGAAATATATATAAATATTCATAGACCTATACGCAAACATTTTTTTCTCCTGAATTTAACTTGTTTGTACCTAAAAACAATAATAAGATGTTACCGGTACATTCTTCCTTTCCTGATTTTTAACATATATGACCTTTAATACCTGTTGCGATTTGTTTTTAGTAATATGTGAAGAAATTATTCGAAAAAAAGTATCGAAAAAGAAAGGTTTTTATAAAGTCTGAGCATTAATTCAGCTTCAAATGGGTACAATTAGAAATCGGCTAACAAGGTTATCATGATAACCAATTGGAATACCGACTGTACGTAGAATATCAATGATTTAAAAACATGATATGGTATTGAATCAGATAATCAATTCCAGCATACGACACCTTTTCCTTATGAGTAGTTATATTGAAATCAGTATGGTCCTTGACAAAGTAAGATTTTCCAGACTTCGAACGAAAAACTGGTATCTGCGTCTACCATTCACATTGAAGTAATAGTGCTTAAACGACATTTCAAGTTATCACAAGGGAAAGTGGTTAAGAATGTTAAAGTTATAAAGTCGAACGTTTTGATATTGTTCCAACATTTTGAGCGACTTTGATTAAAGACGGTTTTGTTAAAGTTTTAAATGTTTTTGATTCCACATCTTCTTGACACCTCTAAATACGACTGAATGCAGGTGCTCCTGAAAGGTAAATATCAACCTCTTAATACGACTGAATGCAGGTGCTCCTGAAAGGCGAATATCAACCTCTTAATACGACTGAATGCAGGTGCTCCTGAAAGGTAAATATCAACCTCTTAATACGACTGAATACAGGTGCTCCTGAAAGGTAAATATCAACCTCTTAATACGACTGAATGCAGGTGCTCCTGAAAGGTAAATATCAACCTCTTAATACGACTGAATGCAGGTGCTCCTGAAAGGTAAATATCAACCTCTTAATACGACTGATTGCAGGTGTTCCTGAAAGGTAAATATCGACTTCTTAATACGACTGAATGAAGGTATTCCTGAAAGGTAAATATCAACCTCTTAATACGACTGAATACAGGTGCTCCTGAAAGGTAAATATCAACCCCTTAATACGACTGAATGCAGGTGATCCTGAAAGGTAAATATCAACCTCTTAATACGACTGAATGCAGGTGCTCCTGAAAGGCGAATATCAACCTCTTAATACGACTGAATGCAGGTGCTCCTGAAAGGTAAATATCAACCCCTTAATACGACTGAATACAGGTGCTCATGAAACGCAAATATCAACCTCTTAATACGACTGAATACAGGTGCTCCTGAAAGGCAAATATCAACCTCTTAATACGACTGAATGCAGGTGCTCCTGAAAGGTAAATATCAACCCCTTAATACGACTGAATACTGGTGCTCCTGACAGGCAAATGTCAACCTCTTAATTCGACTGAACGCAGGTGCTCCTGAAAGGCAGATATCAACCTCTTAATACGACTGAATGCAGGTGCTCCTGAAAGGCAAATGTCAACCTCTTAATTCGACTGAATGCAGGTGCTCCTGAAAAGCAAATATAAACCTCTTAATACGACTGAATGCAGGTGCTCCTGAAAGGCGAATATCAACCTCTTAATACGACTGAATGCAGGTGCTCCTGAAAGGTAAATATCAACCCGTTAATACGACTGAATACAGGTGCTCATGAAACGCAAATATCAACCTCTTAATACGACTGAATACAGGTGCTCCTGAAAGGCAAATATCAACCTCTTAATACGACTGAATGCAGGTGCTCCTGAAAGGTAAATAGCAACCCCTTAATACGACTGAATGCAGGTGCTCCTGAAAGGCAAATGTCAACCTCTTAATTCGACTGAACGCAGGTGCTCCTGAAAGGCAAATATCAACCTCTTAATACGACTGAATGCAGGTGCTCCTGAAAGGCAAATATCAACCGAACTATTGATATCTATTAAATATTTGCTGGAATAACTTTCTTCATTTACACTCAAAACCAAACGTTTGGGTGGCAAATTCTTAAACTACAAAATGTATTTTTTAATAGTATCACAACCAAAAAAGAGTCTAAAAAAAAACGCCAAAATCTTCAAAACTTAATCTGGCATGAGGAAGTTAGACTATTATATTTAGTACATTAAAGGCTTAAGTTTTTACTGTGTAGTATTTCTAGACTGTTTATTGTCTTGTCGTCGTTTTGCTTTTGATCATTGTGTTGTCTGTTCTACGACTTGATTGTCCTCATGCTATCGTCTCCAACATTTAACAAAAAGTAATTCGCCAACTTAAGATTTAAAATGAAAGTGTATCGTTCTACCGAGGATGCAACGGAATTCATCAATCAAAAACGCAACACCAAGGCCAAAGTAAAAGACAAAAACCAGATAACAATATTCTAAACAGAAAAATAAACAATGAGCAACACAAACGAAAAAAAAGTAGAAAACTCAGCTGGTGCTCTGGAAGGGATCCAGTTTTTGTTTCACTAGTGGAACCAACTAATTTTGGTAATTTTTTTTTATTATTATTGTGCGTTTCTGTATAAAATTGTTTATGCCCTTTTGATTTGTTCTAAAGTTTTCATGGATATATTTTTGGATATACGTACGGCTTTCAATAATGAACAAAACTCATACCGTATATATACTAATTTCAAAGTAAAATATTAAAGGCTCCGGCATGGCATAATGTGAAACAATTCAAAAAGGAAAACCAAGTACGTGATTTATACTAACACAATAAACGAAAAATTACAATGCCAGACAACAACCAACGACAACCATTCGATACATGTAACAGGCCTTTGACTTGGGTAAGGCACATAGAGAACGTGACCGCGATAAACATAGTTGAATCCCATTTTGTGACCAGACACAGTACAGATCCGTTTAATTTGAATGTAATAGAAAAAAATAATAACACTTACCGAATCTCTAGTTGTACTGCGGAAATTTACCCACGGAAACTTACTTTAAATAAATCTTATATAAACAGCAATAATTATTGTTTTCTGGATTTGGATATGTAAGTTTCAAACGGGAAACTCTATACAAAAAGGTACTACAAAAGAAAAAAATATTTGTTTTCTATTCTTATTTTTTTTTATTGTTTGGGACGGTGATATTCCTTTGGTCTGTATTTTTTTCTTAAATATGATTTTGAGGGCTCATTTCTCTTCTCAATCTAAGGCAGTATAGTGTAACAGTACATCCTTTGTAAGAACATTCTGTTTAAATCGATCGGAAGAACTTGGCTCATCAGTCGTTCTCCGTGACTTCTTTTCCAATTGCAAATCGGTCTGAAAAGTCTCTGAAGGGTAATATTCGGTAGCTGTGTATTGTTCAGATCGAGTATTTTAACAGGGTTTTCCAAAAATGAATTGTTTAAAGAAAGAAGTTTCGGATGGGTAGTGATAGTTATATAAGTCTTATTGTTCATTTTTCTTTTAAATGAAATTTAGATGGATATTTACAGTTTTGGTCGTGATTGGTGCCTATTTGAATACCTACAACATGCCAATAAACTTTATTGTCGAAAATGTGTTAATCGCATATCCATTTTCCCTTAATATTATATTTGCAGGAAGATTTGAATATGTCCTTTACCCTACCGAGCCCACTTATTGATCCATGTAAAAAAATATTAGTACAAGCAGACAACAGCCTTTTTAAGTACAATTGTTTTCAGTTTACTGGTGTTAATTTGAAATAATCGCACTCATCAATAATATCGTTGATTTCAATTACAAATCACTTTTCATAAACGAGTTAAAGGGTAGCAATGGTCTTAAGAGAATAATCATTGAAACAGCTGAAGCTTGATTACTTTGTAATAGTAAACAACATGACCATTCGGATACATATGCACATAACTAAAAAGACGGTCGTATAAGTCAGATATAGACATATATACAGCTAGGAAAGGAAGATGAAAGCTACTTTACCAGTAACTAGAATGCTGTTAGTTCTTACTATGGTGTCTGGGCATTGCTGTCTGCATTGTTCTTTTCGTCCAGGTAAATGTAATTTCTAATATGAATATGACTAGCCTAGATTCGGCATTGTACATGTATTCTCTTTTGCATTTGATAGATTTTATATAGAATATAAAAAAGATAAACAGTTTACTGTTATTTAACGCGAAACCGTCTTTTGGTCTTAATGGATTGTTGACCCAATGGAAATCATACCACATTCCCTTTTTATATAATCATACTGAAATTATCGATTGAAATACTAAGTGTACATATAAATAAATGAAGGAATCGGGTATAAGTCAGTGAGACAGCACCCCAACGACAAAAATAACAAAAAGAAATATAGAGGGCAACGTATAGTTTACAACAATAGATAGGACTGTGTCTGTACAATATGCCAAGCTCTAAGTCGTCCGGAATCTAGTTGTGAATAACAGAAACAATCAAAGATCTGGCATCAACACCAAATTCTTCAAATAACGAAAATCATTAAATAAGATATGCAACAAATATTGACGAGCCGGGTTCTTGACTTGGGAAAAGCACATAGAAATGTGACGGGTCGTTAAACTAGTTTAATTTGGAGCTGAACCCTCCCCTTCTTAATCTCAACCAACAGATGTTTGCATCTTTCTAGTCATACATTTAATTTTTCGTGTAGATAAGATTTCCAGCAATTCAGAACTTGAATTAAGACTGATAAAGAATGATCATGTAGTAACTTACAGCTAGCCTGTTATCTCCTTTCAGACGATAATTGGTCCAATCAGCATTATTATCCTCCACCCTAGTTTAATACATCAATGTTTTCCATAAAAGTTTCAACTAGACTGGTGCGTCTGTAATTGTCATACCAAATTATACAGTACTTTTAGTCATATACTTTGAATCGGGTCATGTTTAACATTAGTACAACATTAACAGGTTTTGGAATACTTGGTATGCACCATTGTCACCATGGTGGTAAACTGATAGCACATGGATCATCTGTAGTGAACCGGGACTTATGTATGAAGTGTCAATGTGTCAGAAACGGAATGGAGTGTTGTCAGTAAGTAATCAATACGAGTATCTGATTAATGTCAGTAAATAGTCAAAACGAGTATCTGGTTTAATGTCAGTAAGACGTCAATACGGGTAGCTGGTTAATGTCAGTAAGACGTCAATACGGGTAGCTGGTTAATGTCAGTAAGACGTCAATAAGTGTAGCTGGTTACTGTTTTTAAGAAGTCAATACGGGTAGCTAGTTAATGTCAGTTATTGGTCAATACGGGTAGCAAGTTACTGTCATTTAGAAGTCAATATTGGAAGCAGGTTAATGTCAATAAGTTGTCAATAAGGGAAGGTGGTAAATGACGTTGAGAGGTCAATACGGAGAGCTGCTAAATGTCGTTAAGAGGTCAATACAGATGGCTGGTTACTGACATTCTTAGGATTGGTATAATCACTTAAAGCACTGCAATATTTATCAATTATGGACTTTTGACGAGGTCAATACGTTATATATGGACCTGTTCAGATTATACTGACCGAGGACGAAGTCCGAGGTTATTATAATCTAACAGGTCCATATATAAGGTATTGACTTAGTGAAAGTCCTTAATTTATATATTACATATGTAAATAGTGTAAGTTTAAAAATGATGTTGACTCGATGTTACTATGTTCGGAAATGATATTGACTCTATGTTACTATGTTTAGTAACATGGAGTCAATATCATTTTTAAAAATAGTAACGTCGAGTCAATATGTCTAAATAGTGAAAAATACAAAATAGATATTGGGAAACACGTGACCAAAAAAAACAATGAGAAACATTAAACATTAAGCCATCTATAAAATATAACCGTTTCTCCACGTGCACACTCCTGTGATGACGCCCTTTAACTGTGGAATAACGTTGTTATTTGCCTCTAAGTCAGGGCCAATTGAGTTCTATACCACAATTGCATTAACCTTAACACAAACTTTGAAATTGACATACATTACTATATACGAATCAATTGATCAAATTCATAAGATTTCTTCTTCATTTGATAAAAGGCTATCGACAATTGAGATATAAAAGTTAAAACTTTTAATTTAATGATGCAGAAAACGTGTTTTTTACAAATCGAACATTTGCTTTTATTTAGTATGCAAGTGTCCCCTTATTTTGAATAAGTACAAGACACAAGTCACAAAACACATCTGTTTCTAAATTACACAAATAACTTTCTCTTTTCAGTGAAGGTATTCATATAACACATCACCCACGTGAATGTGAAGTGATCCAACATGGATGTAATCAGTTGGCTGTCAATATATGGGACCATAACAGAATTTGCCATGATGGAATTACAGCTCTTTTGTTTTAATAAAAAAACGTTGTAGATGTGAATGAGTGATTATTTTCTAATTTTATTAATTTATTATTAAAAAGTTAATTTTATTATCTGGTTTAAAAGGATTTTCTTACCCAGGCATAGATGACCTTATCCAAATTTGTTAAAACCTTTTGGTTTTCAATGTGCTTTAACTTCTTAATAGATTTGGCCTTCTAACTGTTTCGATTCCAGCGGCCTTCGTGAGTCTTGTGTACACAAAGCATGCTTCTGGCATATCAAATTATAAGCCACTAAAATTCTTTAAAAAAAAGCAGACTTGCTGCTATAACCTGCACCTTAAATAATCTCACGTTGCATTTTTGCATTAAACTGATACAAAGCAATAGGGGGAATATTTATGATAGTTTTTATTAAAAAAAGGTAAACAAGAGGCTAGCTGTCAGAGTGACAGCACACCGGATTTTCCTGCAGAGGTAAAACACTGCACAGTTGAGCAAGTATGGACACAACATTTAAGCTTATAACAGCTCTGAATTTGGATTGTGATTGAATATTTGTCACAGCATATGTTTGTGACCCAAAATGAATGTAGTCAAAGAACGGAAAAATTTGAAATTAGACATTTACCTATTATGGTTCACTATTCAAAATCTAAGTACATGTATATTGTAATAATTAGCATATCAAAGAACACCAAGAATTAATTTTTTTTATGAAATACTCATTTGTTTAAAGGGAAATAACTCAAAATTCATATAATAACTCAATTTCATATAATCAGTAATCATAATAAACAACCAGTGATGATTTAAATACTCTAAAATTAGATATGATGCAACCATTAAAATATTGTTAGAATCAGCATATCAAAGAACCCCAATTTTTGATGAAATTAAACAGAAGTTTAATTTAGGACCCTTTGGACCTTAATGTGATATTATCTAATTAATAATGAAAATAAATACAGGTTTAGATTCAGCATTTCAAAGAACCCTATAAATTTTCAATTTATGTTGAAATCAAACATAGTTTAATTGTGGACCCCATTTGGATCAATTTGAAAACTGGGCCCAAAATCAGAAATCTAAATATATATTTATTAATAGACAATATAAGCTTAGTTTTTAAAGGAGTTTACTTCAACAACAAAATATATAAAGCATTCAGAAAATTTGTTTTTACAGAATAACAAACAAACCTACCACAAAATTCTTCAAACAATTTAACAAAGAAAAGAAAAAATATATATAGCATTCAGAAAATTAGTTTTTACATAATAACAAACAAACCTACCACAAAATTCTTCAAACAATTTACCAAAGAAAAGAAAAAAAAATCAAAATTTTATTTATCATTAATACAATGTCTTTTAAAAATCTATAAAACTTATCTGTAATTATCTTCAAAATGTCTAATAATGAACAGTAAATTTCTAACTTTATTTATACAGTCCTATATAGCTTATAATCATCAACACTTAGAAAACAGAAAATTTTCAAATAAATCTGTCAATCCAATTTTAATTGTGTGAGACATTTACCAGATGCTCTTATCTATCAACAGGTGAAAATTAGTCATGTTAGTGTAATCAAACTTTATATATATAATTAACCATTTCTGTTCAAAGAGAAATAACTCAATCACATTAAAAATACCTCTTTTGGATATTAAAAAGGGCAATAACTCAACAAGGAGAAAAGCTAAAATCGTCAAAATTGAACTTGACCTTCATTTAGTCACAGGTAACAACATATCTAAATTTGAAAAAAATTTGTCCAAGCGTTTTCATGTTATTGAGGAGACACTGTTTGGTAGCCGCCCGTCCGCCTGCCCGCCCGCTGTACATCTCCAAATCAATAACCGATATTTCCTTCTAAAATCCGGTTAAAAGTGGGTAAAATCATCATCATATCGATTCATATGGTAATACTAAGTAACTCCTATGGAGAGTCAGTGGATGATTTTAGTCATGTTGACTGATTTGTAGATTGTATTTAGTTAACTACAGCTTCTCTTTCTGCAAAAACAAAAAAAATGGTACAATTTTTCATTAAAGACATTAACTCCCATAAGTGTAGACTGACGATTTTGTCATTTGTGGTTCTCCATTTAACACCTAATCATAAACTTTAACATGTAAACTATGCGAACCATGACTGAGGGGGCTGGCCAATATAAATTCCATAGAAATGAAATGGGTTAATACTTATACAACTGCATACCAAATATCATTTACTTACCATTGAAGATTCATCATAAACTTAATTAAAACCTATATCATGAAAACTGTGCAAAACAAAGTTTCAAAGTCAAAAGAACATCCATAGAAATGAGATGTGCAAATGCTTATAACACTGCATACCAATTATCTTTGACTTATCATAAATGGTACCCTTAAAATGACCCTATCACAAACTTTAACATGTAAACTATGCAAAAGTTTCAAAGTCATTATCTCCATAGAAATGAGATGTGCTAATGCTAAACACAACTGCATACCAAATGTCAGTGGTTCCCGTTAAACTGACTTAATCATAAACTTAAACAAATTGTTAGACATGTAGCTATCTAAGCACGTCTAAGCCTTACTTTTTGACTCTGTCAAAGCAGAACAAAAATATCGTCTTTTATGAGCAACAATTTTCCCAAGGAGTGGTTCGACAGTTTTGAAGGTAGATCTTGACATTTTGAACATTTCTGCATTTGTCAGAATTTTTCTTTCTATACCAGTGTATGTTTACAAGATAATAGAAAATACTTGCATTTTACCGTTATGTTCTATTTTTACTCTTTGGACCAGTTGAGCTAGAAACTAGTTTCAGCAAACTTCATATTCATGTACCTATCTGAAGTCAGGAACATTGTCTGTGGCTTTCTTGTGTCAATTCTTGTTTTGTTATTTTGAGAATTTGGTGTTGATGGCAGACCGTTGATAGTTTCTGTTGGATTTATTCACAATTTAAAAAAAGGATGATTAAGTGCTTGACATGTTATAAAGATACCCGTCTATTGTTGAAGGCTGTAAGTTGTCCTCTGGATGTCATTTAGTAATTTGTGTCGGTGGGTTGCTGTATCCTTGATGAGTCTACCCCATCTTGTTTTGTTCATAAGAATTCATGTTGTGTTATGACAGAAAAAATCTATGGTTGGTCCATTCAAATGTATTTTTATAGCAAATCAACTTATAAATTTTATTTTGGGAGATTGGCATGCATGAAAAAGTTGTCAATTTACATTGCTGACAAGGATTACTAAAATGATGTTTACATTTTTCCCTGTAACTTCCTGATTTTCATAGTAAGTGCCAGCATACTTCTCCTTGTCTTTGGAGTATCAATGCATGTGTATGTATGCATCTATAGTGTTGTAATTGTCAGCCACAATTTAGAGTTGATTTTCACAATATTTAGACATCTTTTTCTTGTCAGCAATTTTTTACATACCTTATGGCGGTTACCCTTAGTATATACCTTATTGTTTTAGATGTTTTTTGCTATTGTTTTTGTTCGTCCTTTTTGTTGTTGAACTTTATTTTTGTTTTTTTGGGGTTTTTTTCCTGATTGAAGTCTTGTTTTTTTTATATTCATTGTCATTCTTTTTTTCTAAATTAAATATAAATAGTATCTGTTTCATAAAATATGTTTATTACTTACTTATAAAAATATATAAATAACAAATAGCTTTGTAACAAAGAGATTGCAAAACACATGATCTTCTTTCGATGCTTTAACAGAGTGAAGTGCCCTTGAAACATTAATTCATATTATCACAACCGAAATGTTTCTTTATTCAATACAATCATTAAATGTTTTATAAACAAACATGATAATTTTACAAGGTGTCTTTAATAATGATATTTGTAAATATTTAACTATGATTTACTTTATTGGAAGCAATGGACTCACAAATGGTAGACTTTACTTATAAATATATTTCACAAAATATACACTTTTAAGCATGTTTGATTCATAACAATATACAAGTATTAGAAATATATTTTAAATTACAAAATATAATTTCTTAATCAAAACATAAACATGTATTGCATAGCAAATTTTAACAAAATATTAAACAACAAGACAATAAAATGGTGTAAAATCATATATAAAAATTCAATTTTCTAATCAAAATTTTTGGGTTTAACTATTCATTTTCAAAGTTTGATAACAAATTAAATATCAGCATATACCATAAAAACTAATTTTTGGCAAGATAACAATCCTTTGTATGAAATTTTAAATGAATTGTATAGATTGGCCTTTGACAATGCTGTTGGTTTAAACAGAAAACTAAAAAAATAAATGATTAAACTATTATTATGATGCCATACAATAGATACAGATAAATGGTTCGGCAGTAAAAGCTATAATTAATTAATTAAGAAGTTTATATATTGCACGTTTTCAATGATTTCTCAATATAATGATACTGAATCTAATGCACAGTGGTCCAGTCTTTAGTACAGTTTATATAGCACTGTTGTCATTGGTCAACACTGGATCATGTGACCAATTATAATCTTCCTGAGTAGTTGGGTATAGCACTGTTCAACTGCTTTATGTGTGGTGTCATCTAGTGTTGTATTTGTGTGAATCAACATTAAATTTCTGTAATAAAAATCCATTATAATAACAAATCTCATGTATAAATAAATAATTTAGCAAATAAAAAAAAACTTAGTAGGCTTTTATTGTCTTAGCCGTATTTGGCACAACTTTTCTGATTTTTCATTTTTGATGCTCTTCAAATTTGTATTTGATTTGCCTTCCTGACTGTTTTGATTCGAGAGCAACTAAAGAGTCTTTTGCAGACAATATGCATGTCTGGTGTGCTAAATTATAAGCCTGGTATCTTTGTTGAATTTTGCATACCATTGGGTGAATGCCACTGTTAGTTGACGTTTCGTCATGGAGGATATCACCAGCCCAGCAGTCAGCACTTTTTTGCTGACATGAAACATCAATGATATGTTCATTTTCTGTAAATTTACTGTTTATAAAATGTTAAATTAATTAATTGAAACACTAAGGTTTTTATACCTCAGGCGAAGATTAATTGCCTAAGCCATTTTCGGAACTTTCCCTTTATATGCCCATCAACTTCCAATTTAATTTGGCCTGCCTACTGTTTTGAATAAAGTACCACTGATTAGTCTTAAGTAGACAAAACAGACGTCTTGGGTACCATTGATGAATTTTCATACATTTCAAAATTTAACATTATGGCTGTCTGATCATGTCAATATCTATGTCATTAATTGGTGACAATAATTGTTTTCGTCTATTCATGAACTGGAAGAAAATATATGGTTCAGGGGTGGGGTTCTGAATAGACTTTTCAATATTTACAGGAGGGGTATATGATAAGACTATTTACCTGTCTGTTTGTCTTTGGAATTTCCTCAACGAAATACGATGGGACTAAACCATATTGTCCATCAACCTATAAATACAAAGCAAAAATCTTAAATTAATATTTATAAATTAAAAATCTTCATTGAATAAATTTACAAAATGAATTTTAAAGCACAATCTGGTACATGTATTGTCCTATTGTAGACCTTCCAGCCAATACAAAGAATAGATTGAAGTTTTAAACCTAAACATATATGTTTTACCCAGTATAATGTACATCTTTTAGCATAGACATGCATAACCCATGATAAAGATGTAATAAGGAGAAACCACTTCACTTCCTACATGGTTTGCTCCAGATAAAAGAAAAGTTGATAACACTGATCTCTCATATTGTAACAGTATATGATAATGAAACGGTATGATCATAGTTGCCAACCTCTGACAATGACAAATCATGTCATGACATGACATGACCTGTCAAAAAGCGTGAAAAAAAGCGTGTGACGTAGATGCAGACTTTTTAATATGAACTTTATACAAATTTCTCAATGTAAAAAAACAATATTCTACTGTAAACTTTTATTGTATTCAACAGTGGCCTGTTTTGCTGCTTTCAAAACAACTGCCAGTTTGGTTAAATTTACATGAAACATGTAACAATGCACACAATGTATCATTGTTGAGTTCTGATCTGAATTCAGTGTAAATCTTCTTTATAATTGAAAATGCTCTCTCACAGTCAGAATTGCTATTTGGCAGAACTAAAATAGCTTTAGCAAGCTTTAAAAGAATGTAATATCATATGATACTTTGAAAATATATTACCGTAGTCAGAACAATAGTATCATTACTTTATATAGAAATAAAAAATTTGTAAGGGTTCCGCGGAACCCAGTCTCTCGCCTACTTCTGCTGCTAGTCACAAGCTCAACAAAAAATGGGGAAAAAATCATTAAAAATTTTCTTATAGATATTATCTTTTGATTGTAAGAAGCTTCTGTCCAAGTTTGGTAAAAATCCAGAATGGTTTATGAATCTAATAAATGTTTTAAAAACTTTAACTACAGACTGTATGTAATGTTAACTGGAAGAAAAACTAAGTCCATTTATAAGTAATATACGGAAAAAAAGGAAATATATTTTTACAAAATTTCCTTCTAGATACTAGCTTTTGATCATAAACAAACTACTGTCCAAGTTTGGTACAAATCCAGGATAGTTTAAGAAAGTTATTAAAATTTTGAAAACTTTAACCACAGAGTGAATGTAATGTTAACTGACAGAAAAACTAAGTCCATTTATAAGTAATATATGGAAAAACAGGAAAATATATTTTTACAAAATTTCTTTCTAGATACTAGCTTTTGATCATAAACAAGCTTCTGTCCAAGTTTGGTACAAATCCAGGATAGTTTAAGAAAGTTATTAAAATTTTAAAAACTTTAACCACAGAGTGAATGTAATGTTAACTGGCAGAAAAACTAAGTCTTTTACAAAATTTACTTCTGGATACTATCTTATGATCATAAACAAGCTTCTGTCCAAGTTTGGTAGAAATCCAGGATAGTTTAAGAAAGTTATTAAAATTTCAAAAACTTTAACCACAGAGTGAATATTTGTGGACGCCGCTGTCACGGACGGAATGCAGGATCGCTACGTCTCGCTTTTGTGACAAAAGTCGCAGGCTCGACAAAAATGAAAAAAAGACTGTTTCTTTGATAAACAGTGGTAAAAGGTAACAAAACTTTGAGGATTACAGGTTATTTCCCAAACCTCATGTTTTTTTCATAAACATTTACCTGACAGGTAATAACATTACACAGTCTGACCTTCAGAATTCTGCTGACTAGTAAGATAGAAAGTTCTACCTTTGCAATAAGAATGTGATGTATAAGCTTTATCTTAATCTGTACTTTTAACCTTATCAATTACTTACACAACCATAAAAGTACCCATCCCGTCTTTCTTCTCCGTATATCGTTATGGAATCTCCAGCACTAAATGCCAGTTCCTGTGATGTATCGGCTCTCGGAGACTGTTTCTGTGGGTCATAATCATAGATGCCCAAGTATTGTCTCTGATGTAACTTTATAAATTCGTGACTTGTTAATACTCTGTCTTCTTTAGAATCGTTGTCTCCATAGAAGATATCTATAATCTCCGACACTTGTCTGTCACAGACTGACTCGATACCAAATATGTGGTCCCTGTCCATACTGATACTGTGGAGGACCAGTCTGGTTATGCTTGCTTTGGTAAGGTGTCGGTGAAGTTTTCCGTCCACAAATATCTACAAACAGCAAACAGATTATAAGGAATTCAAGTAAAATACATAAAGGTATCATTTGTTATGTGATATTTAAATGCCACTAAATATAGAATTTCCATTAAATCGGGACATAAATGTCATATTTTGCTTTTGTGTAAAAAGAAGAGAAGGCGCACCAAAATTTTGCATTCCTTGTCCTTTGTGAATTGAAGAAAATCTGTGTCTTTGTGAATAATTGATTTTTACTGTTTTGCCACAGTTCGTATATAACCTTTAGGAAATTTATATTTCATTGAACGTTTAATTAAGTGGTTCATCTGTATCCACGAAATCCACAAAAATTGTTTGCCAATGAATAATAATTTACCTCAAACACTTGAACATATAATGTAAATAATACCTTATATCCAGTAACTGGTGTTGCAGGAGGTTTCCATGACAAAGTTATCCCCCTTTCTGTTTCCACGGCCTGGAAATCTTGTGGTGGATCAGGAACAGCTGTAAATAAAAAAAAAATGTTGAAGCCAGATCTTTAATAGCTTCTGTACTGTATAATTATTTCCTTTTTTTTTTGGAACTTAAGACGATTGAAACCTTTACATATTGTATAGACACTGTTCTTTTGTTGAAGACTGTAGTTTGATATCAAGATATATTTCAGTTGTTTGTGTTGTTGAGTTGCTGATGTACACCACAGAACTACTTTTATTCATGTTAAGGATAATAAAAGAAAATAAGACATTTAAAAATTTTCAGCATGTTCTTAACATTTAGAATTTTCTTCTTTGGACTTATCAATCTGTTCAAACATAATAATTAAACATATATATAAGTTATGACAATTTTAAAATGTTAATCATTTCTGTAGATAAATTGGCTATTAAAAAAGGTCCAACAGTAAGTAAATTGTTACCTTGATTGATGTTTTGACCAGTTGTTTTCCTTAATCCATTAAACTTGGGACTGGAGTAACCAGATTTCCCTTGTTTAACTAACTGGCCATACATCTGAACAATATTTTCTGGTGAGGTATCCAGGTGATTTGGTGGTTTCTCGTACTGTTGCCACCGCCTGTCTTTAGCTGTGGGAAAATGGTGGCCATTTACAGGAGGTCTACCTAAATAAGCTGCTGGTACCAAACCTACTTTTCCATTAACCTCAGCCTCAAAATAACCTCTGTCATCTAATGGACCTGTAAAACAATACCGGTAATCTATGTCATGTAAAAGTTTTCAATCTTTAGTTTTCCTGTTTATCTTGAACAAGTAGTAACAATTAGGGTCTTATTTTCTTATATATAACCTGCACATAAATATTTTTTTTTTAAATTATCTAAATTTGGTCATGGTTTTCACCAAAAGTAATAAAATTATGTTCCATGGTGTGTTAATAAAAAAACAGAAATTTTTGTCATTCATTTTATTGTTAAGTTACCTGAAAAAGAAAATGCATCTGTTTTTTTTCAGTTGCATTTCTAGTCAAAAATTCCTTATGAAATCAATACGTTTAATTATAGAACCTACCTGTAATGAGAACATTATCTCCCTTTTTCAGTTGTAGTTCCAGTCTCGGACTGTTACTTTTGGAAAACAGAGAAGGATCATAATCGGATACTACTGTGAAGTGTGGATTCTTAGGTATCTCTCCTTGTACAAACTGTTCTGATATTAAATGTCTGTCATTCTGGTCAGGGGGTTTACCATTAGATAACTATAAAATACAAATTTAAATATAGATGTTATACTTGTAGCTATAGACCAAGATTTAATCTATACTTGACTTATTTTCCCACTTATATTGGAACATACACCATTATAAAACTTACACTGCAAAGGTTCACTGATAGAACACTTTGTTCAGGAAAAGGGTGGCTTGATACAGGCACTTTGTTCAGAAGCCTCCTGATTATGTCATATCCAGTTCTAATTTATATGTGCCTCTCAGGAAAAACCAAAAACACATGAAGTTACATGCAGTTATATCAAGGTTTATTTTACCATAAAAACTAAAAGTGTACATAGTTACAAGACCTGCAAGATTTTGATCTCTGAAGGAAGATCTAGAAAGCTGTTATCATACCTACCAACCTTTGGAGCCACAATGCGGGAGATCTCCCTCTTTCCAGCTCCTCTAAGGGGGAGATAATGCTTGACAACCTTTTTCATTCAAATTTTGGTATTAAGAGTACAGTTCGATAGGTTGGTATTTCAAATTTTTAAGTAAAAAGTGGGAGTCTCCCCCGAAATCAGGTGTGTTGGCAGGTACGCTGTATATCCCTGAGATATTAGATAACATATATGCAGAGTTTATACATCTTAATTTTGATGATGAAAGTATATCACCAAAATTTTTGGATTTTTCAAATCTTAAATAATTCATATTTCATCTAAAAAAAAATCTATATTGTAACTATACAACATACCATTGATGGACTATCATAATCTTGTTTGTCCATAAAAGATTCCATAACTTTAAGCTCCTCTAGCAGAGCTGATGATTTTCCAGATCCTTGGCAAAATTCATCTTTAAGGCGACGTAAAAGACTGTCCTGAAATCAAATAATACAAAATGACTAAACAAATGATTCTTTTAAATCATTACCTTCAGTGGATACAAAATAAAACAGCTGATCCAAATCTTTTTTGTTGTCTAAATGATGATTCACAATTCCTTAAGAATGACTGTTGTAATATCACTTAGTTTCCATTAGATGAAAACAGTCACTTATCCTTAAGTAAGGAAAAAAAACATACACGATAACAAATGATAAAAGGATAACAATTTATGCAGAAATATGAAGGTTGAGAGTTCAAGCAGCTAATCTGTTGTCTCACCATGATCTTACAAAATGCAAATAGTAACTACTTACATATTCTAATATAAAACAAATGAGATAAGATCCATATACTGGGAGTAATTAATTTTACAAAGCCTAACTAACAGTGTTAGCATCAGTAGCTTTTTTTTTACCTTTTCTTTACATTTCTGTGTCAGGTGACTAATCCTGGCTTTTAAAATGGCAATGTTCTTTGTTAAATCTTCTTTATTTGTTTCTAATGTTGATATCTGTGAAAATAGAGACAGAATAACAGGTATTAAAATTATATCTTTCTTCCTAACATTCATTTATTTAAGCTGTGTTTAAGGATCAAACAACATTATGTAACTATACACCAGTTAACTGTAACTCATAATCATATAATACTCACTCTTAAATTTATAATCCAATCTTGCAAAAATGCAACTCTAACTATCAAATAAGTCAATAAGTCAGTAAGTAAGAAATGTACTTAGAGTCAGCATATTTGAAATTTAACAATAAAATTTGAGCTTTAAAAGCTCTTAAAACAGACATTAATATGTATACAAAACTTCACATAAAGCAAATACTAAAAAAATCAGCCATAATATATTAACTCCTTTATACACTTAATATATAAACAAAGGCAAATCAGCTGGTGAGGGCAAAGGTGTACGCCCTTTTTATCAGAATAAAAATTTATTTTTTAGAATTAAATCTTCAAAATCCACTATTTTTGCCATTAGGCACAATTAAGCCCCACTTTCCTCTAACCTTGAATTTGTCCCTGGTAAATATATTAGTCTTGAAAACATAAAGCAGGCAAGCAGCTTGTTGAAAGTGAACTCAAGATTTAGCTTACCTATAGTATCCTCAATATCAATGAAATTATACCTCATTTCATAACTTTCATAGATGAAGCAAGGTGTTAAAGAGCCTGTGAATTAATGATGTTGACAAAAAATGAGGAAAACTCATTTGTTACAGGTATCCTTTGAGGTTTGTTTGTATCAACAGAACAGGAAGTACATTAAAAAGTGGTGTGACAATATATTACACAGTATAATTTACCTATAAATAACTCAGCTTAAAAAATTAACTGCTCATAAAATTAAGTAAGCTGTGATTTATAGCTGCATAAACATCACAGCAAAAAGTTTTGATTGATGCATGCACATATAGATACACAAACAAACACACACAAAACAGAGATTTAACATTTCACAAATGACTGGCATTTTTCTGTGACATGTAACCCACCCACCACCAATTTTAATGTCTAAATTGTAATACAAAACTAAATACCATTGAATTTGCAGTTTCCTTTAAATCTAAAGTGGAAATGACATCCCCATTTAATAAAACAGTTACTATGTTTATCATAAATGTTATCAAGTTGTTTGAAATGGTGAGGAAAAAAAGTTGTAATGTTATATGAAAATAAACCCCACTTTGTAGTGGGTGACTTGCTAAAAAATAATGTTTCACCATGCTAGCTAACAAAGTAACATTTCACAGAATCCTCATTTTGTGACACTCCAAACTTACTGATTGTTGCTCTCACAGGTTTTTCAGTTTAACAAAAATGGGTTAAAACTTGAAGCTTACACACGAAAAGCAAGCACACCACCTCAAGACAACCAAGATGGTTAAGGAAAACAAAAGTTTTTGGCTTTGATATCAATAGAAACTAATTAAAAGAGGAAATTTAAATCCCCACAAAGGCACTAAATCCTTTTAAAATATGAATAGTGTCGCTTCTTTGGACCATAAAACCCTAATATCTCCAACTGGTTTCAAAATAATAAAACAAACAATTAACATGATCCGTATATATATAAATATAAGTAAATGTGACATTCAATATAATTGTAACAAGTGAAAACGACACTTATTAGTACCCTTGTCTGAGTGTTAACATAATCTCGTAGTTGCCTCTGTAGGTGATATTTCTCTTCCTCAAGGGAGATAATAGATACTTTGAGTTCTTTAACCTCCTTCATTTGGTTGTTTACTGTCTCAGTCTGTTTAATTTTAAATATACAAATTGCAAAGTGTTTCACTTTTTAAGAATAATTACACTTTCACAGTGAAATTAAAAAAATATCTATCATACCACTTAGTAATAAACAAAACAGCTTATCTTACAAGATCCAAATGTTTTTCAAATCAAAACAAATTCTTAAACATTAAATAGTAAAATTAAAATCCACGGCAAACAAAAATAGAAAACAGATACTTTTCAAATTGAACTTTTGAATCAAGCTATAGATACTTGTAAATTTAAGATTATTTCTATTTATCAAATAAAGATAGTACCTTGTCTTCTAAAAGTCTTGAAACACTTTGCATTTTTTCATCAAGACTATTTTTCTCAAAGTCAAGATGACTAAAATTTTTGGCTTTCCCCTTCAACTGAATAATTTCAAATCTGAGCTGATCTCTCTCTACTTTCATTGAACGAGCTTCAGTCTCCATGGATAGCAGCTAATAATGTTAGATAAAGTAATCACAGCTTATATTGTTAGTAAAAGTTACATGAATTGGTATGTACTACAAAAATTGTCAAAATATCAGTTTTTAAATGATAGATTATTGTGCAGTATAGACTAAAATAAGGTTTTGTGAATTATTGAATATGTTTGTATCCATAACTGAAGCTTTAATTTGATCTTTCTTGTTAATGTCAGACGGAATAACATAATGTCAAAGTATTATTACTCTATATTGTAAGCATAATATCTGTAGAGGGTTGAACATAAAATAGAGTTTGAATGTACACACATATTTCTCTGCACTCAAAAGGGTAGCACTAATCATCCCAGTCCAAAAAGACAACACTTATTTAAGTTTCTAAATACCCAAAACAGAGCTCCAGATAAGAATTCACAAATTGGGGTTTTTACCCACCATTTTTTTATGTAATTGGGTGATAAAGTTTTTAAATTGCATTATCAATTCCAATTCACCCCTCAAGCAAATATCAAATTGGGTTTTTCACCACCAAGCTCCTTAATGTATTGGGTTTTTTCATCAACACAATATTGAATGTTTAGGCATGTTATAATCACATTATGTCAACCCCATGCAGATGTTTTTCCATCTTAAATGTGTTTTTTTTCTTTGTATATATGCTAGCTGTTTTATTTGGTTTATTCACTGACGAGCAATTGTACGTTTAATTTGTGTCTGATTTTAAACGTTCTGCCAGTTTTGTATTTTCTCACAACTTATATAAACTGCAGCTGGTGTCACTAGTTGGACAGTTACTAATTACCTTTCTAGATCCCATATGATCACCCTACAGTTTAGTTGGGGTAGGCGTGGCTAAGTGTTTAGATTTTTATGTAATATATGTGAAATTTAGGTGCTGTAAGAAAGTTTTGCCAGTCCTTTCACCTATTTGCCAGATCTACTTTTTAATAAAAATAATAAGTAGTTCCCAGATTTAAGATATACCCCAAAACCTTGACCAGGTTTATAGGTTTAATGACGGAGACCACATTCAACTTAAATTAACAGAGTTAAATTTACAAATAATTCTGCAACATCAAATAAATAAATGACAATGTTAAACTGCACTTGCCAATTAGACAACTATCATAAGCATACAGAACAATAAGACCAAAACAAAGAAAGTGTCAAGATGCATTGACGTAAAAAACGGATATGTGTATTCACTCATCAACTAAAATGAAAAAAATAATATATAAACTAAAATTATACTTGAATGTTTTTGTTTAATTTAATTTACATAAATCTGGGTTAAGTTGTCCCAGCTGATTAGAACCTTTGGTTTCTGATGCTTTCCAACTACAAAATGTACATATATCATGTCATAATTGATTTGGCCTTTCACTCTTTCCAACTGATTTCGTTCTTGACAAAACCCCATGTTTATCGTTCTATCAATGTTCTCGTTAAGGTACGCAAACGGGTCTTGTTATCATCATAATAACTTTCCCTAAAGTATCAAAAAGAAGCTGAAAACATGCTTCTATTCAATATTTTTATCGGATATTTACTTTCGTTTTAATTCATTGTATGTTATGATAAATCCCGAGCAATTCGAAAAAAATATGACAACAAGACAAACTCTAATTGGATAAACGCCGAGAAGATCGAAATGTTTTCATAAACACGTGTACCTTTTGAGCAACGGAAAATTCCAACAGGGTACTTGATGCAGGGCTCTATTTTTAGAACGAAAGGACATTTCCATTTATAAATATTATAAAAATAGATTTACGCGACGACTGTAATCAGATAAGGGTAAATAACGCAAACGATAGCGAATAAAAGCGTTAAGAACTCATGGTTTTGGCATATAATTGGGTTTTCCTTTGAATGAATTGGGTTTTTGAACCCTGCAATGGGCAATTGCATTGGGTTTTTAATTATTTGTATTGCGTGATCACGCAAATACGCAGCTTATCTGGAGCTCTGCCAAAAGGACCTAGAAAAAAATAGATGTAATCTTACTGGTTGGTGTGAAAATTACTCAAGCTAAAAAAAAAACCGGAAAGGACATACAATGAAATAAATATACTATTAATAAGATTAATAAGGACAACATGAAATGTTTATAGAATTTACCTGTTCGTGCAGTTGATTATAGTCTTGTTTCAGGTGTTTTTCTGATGTATGTGTTTCTGATACTTCTTGTTCTAGACAATGTAATGATTCAAGGGCATTCACTCTCATATCCTCTATTGTTCTACACTCCTCCTGCCATTGTCTTAACTCCACCAGTAAACTGTCTACTTCATTTCTCTACAGAAAAGATCAAACATTAAAATGAAGTATTATACTGTCAAATACAGTCTCCTCATGCCATTGTCTTAAATCATGAATACTATTTCATTTTGACACAGAAAAAGGAGAGTTCTGACGAGGATTTAAAAAGACTTGTTCAACTTTGCAGATTTTTTCAAACAACTGTATCAAAGAATTAAAAAAAAAAAAATTCTATGTTTAAATGGTTAAGGCATAGCTTACTATATCAAATAAAATTTTCCAGCACCATGTACTTTAGTAGGAGGGGTGTGTGTAAATGACAATATGTTTGATTCAATGCAAGTTTTTGTTTTAATAAAAATGTTCACCAGTAGAAGAGTCAACTTCATAAATATAACTATTATTAAACTGTAAAATATCCTACATATAAACCCTATATATATATATTTAACATTTAGGCAAATGAAATGTTGTGCACTTAATTAATCAGTTAGTAAACTAAGATCATCACCTTATTTTTTTGTGTGAAAGTTTCTGCCATGTAGTATTGTATATTTACCAATAGAATATCAATTCAGATAATACTTATAATAGATATAAGAAGATGTGGTATGAGTGCCAATGAGACAACTCTCCATCCAAGTCAAAATTTATAAAAGTAAACCATTATAGGTCACAGTACGGTCTTCAACACGGAGCCTTGGTATAAAAGTAAACCATTATAGGTTATAAATCTATATACCTTTGCCTGAAGTTCTCGTTCTTTACGTTTGAGTTCTGTTGTGACATCACTTCCTGTGCTATGTGTCACCTGATCGGTAAGTTTTTGTTTCATTCTGTGCACCTCAACTTCAATTCCGTTCAGTACTTCTTTATCATTTTTATTCTCCTTCAATAGAAAAAAAATCCATACATACATTACCACATTGAAGAAATTGGTTAAAGGTTTAATTAGAGTCCGGAATCAATTGTCTTCTTTTTGTTTTTCATGTATTAAACAGCACATAAATCACACAATAATTATCAAGTTTGTAGAATTCACAAATTCAACTAGATAGAGAAGGAAAATCATTAAAAACTGTAATACTGATATAGGAGTACATTAAGACAAATCCATTTGTTGATATAAGTCTACTTACTTTGTTACAAAGTAGGTTCTGTAATACTTCTACAAAAGCTTCTAAAATTTCTATGTATCTACACTTTTCTTCAAGTTCTTTCTCTAACTTGTTAATCTGTAAATTAAAAAAAAAGGTGACTTGTTTGACAAGGGTTGTTTTGAAATGATGCTCAATTGCCCTTGCATAATACCAGAACTGTTTCTGGCATTGAACATAGTGTAATATTGGACATTTAAAGGATATGATATAATTCTGTGAGCATAGCAATATAGCATTCATAATAATGAAACTACATGTAAGCAAGAACTTTATAGTATTTTAACATCTACAAACAACAACAACTAATATGCAACCCACACTTTACAAAAAGTAAACTATATGATAAATTTTATAAGATACAGAAATATTTATCCACCATACTTTTCAAAATTTCATTCATAAAATTAATTTCCTAAAAAAGAAAAGTCATCTTCAGTTTTGAATTGATCTACATCTGGTAAACTTGAATGCTTGACCATCGGTGTTCATGTCCAATGAAAATATTCATATCCAACAACTCTGAGTATTTTTTATTTACATTGTCCACACATTATCTTTCTAACAAAATATGGTCATAAACGGAAAAATTTATCAATTTAGATATCGGTGGAAACATTTGTGCAATTTTAAACATGCATTATGATAAGTGATGTTGACAACATATGACATACCCTTTGTCTACGTTTTTTGGCAGGAGGAAGCTTTAAATATAATGTAAATGGCTATAAACCCATAATAGTAAATTATGTATTGTAGTGCTAATGGTGTCAGAATTTTAAGGATGACAGAATGTGCTGTCTGCAAAATTCACAAAATAATAAAAATGTGAATAATTCTAAAAGGAAATCATAATAAAATCTGTTGTATAGTTTGTTTGTTATCTGACAACCTTCTTTAAAGGCAAATGGTGGATTTTATTTTTTCAATTTTTATTCACAGTTGATTTTAAATTATTTGATATACTTTGAGATACTCTCAACCTTTTAGATTTGTTAGTGATCACTGATGATTACATAAAATCTATTGGTCTTTTTTGTGTGTAGAGAATGCCCTGATAAACTATAGAAATATATTAATTATTACACATTGACATCACACTATATAACAACAAATTTCAATCAAAAGAATGTTTTGTTTTATTGCTACTAACAAAGGGGTAGTTCTGTTAAAACTCTTGAAAGGGTTAGATATGTTAGACACTAGCTAGAAACATTTCTTACTAGATAAACATAAATATTAACAATATTCCTAGCAAACAAGAGGTAAAGGCAAGTTAACTACTTCCTATGGAGAAGTACTCTCTTACATGTCGTATTATAATGCATGTACCATAAATGGAATCAGAAATCAGATGGATTAAATATAGCAGTACATGTACCTCATCTTTACTGTGTTTTACTTCTTTCTCTGCATTATCAAAATTTCTTCTGGCTTCATAAGCCTAAAACATAAATAAACCATACTTACATTCTTATAAATAAGCACTGGGACTCATCTTTGTGAATCATTTAAAAAAAAAATGGAAGAAACTTATACAGGTATTAATTGATTTTCTCATGGTAAATAGGAGGAATCTATAAATATGGCATTTACTTTTGTCCCAAAAGGAATTAACATTGACTATTCTAGATTTGTGATAAAAACCCAGGTCTTAATTAAAGTGCATGTGAGTTATGAAGGGTAAACAGCCAGAAGCAGCAAATAAGTAATATATTGTATTTCAAAGGTAATTGAATAACTAGAATTTTATTGACTCGAGAATACATACTTTAACTTGTTTTTGTGTAAAATTCTATATTTTGGGACACATGCACACAAATTTAATGTAACACATTACTGGAATTCCTTTGAGCCATTAATTTTTAGATAAAGATTTATTTCATTAGTCCTCATTTACCTTTGTCTTCCACGTAAACAGACTCTCTTCTTCATCTGATATTTCTGAATAAGGAGCTACTTTTTTCTGGAAATAAACAAAATAAATTTGATACATAAAATACAGATTACAAAAAAATCCTTTCATATTTGTTTGCTAGATGATTTTTAACATCATCATCTTCAAATACGTAATGTTTCCTGGCAGCCAGGTTTATAACTGACCAATCAGGACCCAATTTTGTGAGTAACTCACATACCAATAGACCAAGGTCACTCTGCCAAATTACAGAGCAAGGCTTGAATATTTGAGATAGTGGTAATAGGAGGAACAACCTGTGGAGGGAATCCTGACCACTAAAGTCATCTGTCTAAATCTTTTTTTTTAGTTCTCTAATCACTTTCTTATTTTAGTATTTAACCTAAGTTTGTCACATATAATTACTGATCACCAATTTTGATAGTTATTAAATAATAATAAACTTTACCTCCAGTGTTTTCCCAATTTCCAAAATTCGCTCCCGCAGAGATGTGCCTCTTCCTGTCGAGGCAGTCACATGACCACTGTCATGTAGACTAGATGATCTTGGAGCAGCATAATTAACAGGGGCAGCATGGCTTTTTATCTCTTCTACAAAACCTGAAATACAAACAAATTTACATTACAGAATAAATTATCCCAGTGTCAAACCATATGTCTCTCCCAATAAAGTAATATATAATTCAAAATTCCAGAAAGAATGGCATTTTAAAGTTTGTTGCTGAAATCTTATATTGCAATTGACCAATAAACATTTTGACTGAAATGAGAAACTTTTGATAAAGAATTAATTATTGTTTATATCATTTGATCTTATGTTTATATCAAAACATTTGATTTAATAATAATAAATGGGGAATGTGTCCATGGGACACAGATGATGCCCCCGCTTGCATATAAGGTTATAAAGGGACATAACTCAAGAATTGTAAAAGTGACGTTACCCAAATTTGTACTTGATCCGAGTTTTGTGGTAAAAAGCATTGTGTATTAGTTTCATAACATTTGGTTGAGGCAAACTTAAGTTAGAGAACTGAAGAAAAAAAATTTCAGCTTTTTTTCCATTTGTAAAGGGGCATAACTCTAAAAGAGTAAAAGTGACGCCACCAAAATTCAAACTTGATCTGTATATTGTGGTAATAAGCATTGTGTATAAGATTCATTACATTTGGTTGAGGCAAACTAAAGTTAGAGAACGGAAAGAAAATTTCAGCATTTTTTCCGTTTGTAATGGGGCATAATTGTAAAAAAGTAAAAGTGACGCCACCAAAATTCAAACTTGATCTGTGTTTTGTGGTAATAAGCATTGTGTATAAGTTTCATAAAGTTTGGTTGAGGCAAACTAAAGTTAGAGAACGGAAATGAAAAGTTCGTCAATTTTTCTATTTGTAAAGGGGCATAACTCTAGAACAGTAAAAGTGACGCCACCAAAATTCAAACTTGATCTGTGTTTTGTGGTAATTAGCATTGTGTGTAAGTTTCATAATATTTGATTGAGGCAAACTAAAGTTAGAGAACGGAAACCAATTTTGGGACGTACGTAAGGAAAAAAATTTGATTCACAAGAGATGTTTCCTCAGATTGGTTTGTTTTTCTAAGGTAACTTAGTTCAAATTGCAGTTTATCTTGTACTGTTCTTTTTAAAGTTTTCTTTTTTTTTTGATTTCTGATATAAATTCTTCTTACCATGCATATCATCCCCACTATTCTGTTCTGAGCTTGGTAGATAGTATGATAGACTATCAGGTGTTTTAGAGACTGTCGATGGAGGCATCATGTGGTGTTGCCCTGAATGTGACTTTACCATGTCAGTGCTGTCAGCTGAAAGGAATTTTCGTCTTTTCAGGACAGGACTTGATGTATTGGAATCTGTGCCATTCTGTGTCATTCCTTCACTCTCTGAAGGTAATTCAAGACCGAGAACCAGTTCCTCTTCTCTGTTCCTGGTATCACCCGGTCGGCTGGAATGCAGACTAGTTGCTTGCCCAACTGTTATCCATTTTCTCTCCTGTGATTTCACAGGCAGGAGTGATTCGACCTTTTTCCAATGAATCTCCTCTATGGAACTGTCAAGGTCATCACTATCTTTATCAAGATGGCTGATTAGATCATTTATTAATTTCCTCTTCTCCTCTGCTGTAGGTTTACTTTGATCTGTACCCCTTTTATTCTAAAACCAAAACAAATTTATGTATGTGAGGCCTTTGTTCACTCTAGGGTAACCAACCCATATACAGTTATCCGCAAGTAATTCAAACCTAAAACTAACAATTCCCCATACCTACCCCTAACACTAGTCCTAAAACTCAAACTCAAACCTAACCTATTCCTAAGCATAAGCTGATTACTAACCCTAAAGTACAAGGTCCCCTGAAGTAAATGAAGGCTGTATGTAATATAGTAGGTCAATTACCTTTATGAAATTGGCCAAATGAGAAAAAAATTATAAAACAAACACATTTCATTTACCTTTTTTTTAATTCATAATCTTAAGGCAGATAAATTTTTTGTTTGTTTGTTAAAACATTCAAAGTTGAACTGCATAATCATTTTTTTCTTTTTCTGTTCCTTTCCTTTGCATTTCAAACTTTGCAAAAAACAAAACTACTGACAGTTATGTGACTTTCTTTAAAGTCTGATTTCTAAATGTTTATATATAGTATATTTCTTTGATAACGACATACACAAATGAATAAAGGTTGAAACATATTTATGAAATGTCTGATTTTTTTATTCATTATCCCTGAAATTATTTTCAGCACATTCTAGCTAGTTATTAAATAATGTTCAATATGGTCAAAGCATTTTATTTGTGATTAGCGAGTACAGCCTTTGTCATATTTTACAGAATAGCTAATAGTCATAAGTTGGAATTATTTTATTCTTGCTACCTCTTTAATATTAGTTTACTTAAAAAATTCGTAAGGGTTCCGCGGAACCCAGTGTCTCGCCTACTTTTTGCTGTTAATCACAGGCTCAGCAAAAATGAGGAAAAAAATTAATAAAAATATTCCTCTCTATACTATCTTTTGATTGTAAGTAGCTTCTGTCCAAGTTTGGTAAAAATCCAGGATAGTTTATGAATCTAATAAATGTTTTAAAAACTTAAACTGCAGACTGTATGTAATGTTAACTGGAAGAAAAACTAAGTCCATTTATAAGTAAAATACGGAAAAAATGGAACAAAATTTCCTTCTAGATACTAGCTTTTGATCATAAACAAGCTTCTGTCTAAGTTTGGTACAAATCCAGGATAGTTTAAGAAAGTTGTTAAAATTTTAAAAACTTTAACCACAGAGTGAATGTAATGTTAACTGGCAGAAAAACTAAGTCCATTTATAAGTAAAATACGGAAAAAATGGAATTTTTTTTTTACAAAATTTACTTCTGGATACTAGCTTTTAATCATAAACAAGCTTCTGTCCAAGTTTGGTACAAATCCAGGATAGTTTAAGAAAGTTGTTAAAATTTTAAAAACTTTAACCACAGAGTGAATGTAATGTTAACTGGCAGAAAAACAGTCCATTTATAAGTAAAATACGGAAAAAATGGAATTTTTTTTTTACAAAATTTACTTCTGGATACTATCTTATGATCATAAACAAGCTTCTTTCCAAGTTTGGTAGAAATCCAGGATAGTTTAAGAAAGTTATTAAAATTTTAAAAACTTTAACCACAGAGTGAATGTAATGTTTCCTGGCAGAAAAACTAAGTCCATTTATAAGTAAAATACGGAAAAAATGGAATTTTTTTTTTACAAAATTTACTTTTGAATATTATCTTATGATGATAAACAAGCTTCTGTCCAAGTTTGGTAGAAATCCAGGATAGTTTAAGAAAGTTATTAAAATTTCAAAAACTTTAACCACAGAGTGAATATTTGTGGACGCCGCCAACGACAACGACGACGACGACGCCGACGGAATGTAGGATCGCTATGTCTCGCTTTTTCGACAAAAGTCGAAGGCTCGACAAAAAATATAATAATCAAAATAAACTATATATCTACCAATATATGTAAATTTAGTGCAAATGAATTAAAGATCAATTGTTTTGTCTAACTTCGCCCCCTGTCCAAAATTACTTTAAGTTACATCTACATCCTTGTGTTAACAATTTAAAATCATTCAGAGTTTTCTTATACTTAAGTGCAAACAAGAAAGTTCTAAAATAGCATATTATTACCGATAATGGAGACTGATGTTACTTGTGTAAAAAAAACTTTAATATCTGATTTCTTAAGATTTTAACAAATTTGAGTTATTCTTAAATACTGGAATAAAACTGCAGCAGCATTACAGCTAAAGCTTATATTTGAAATATTTAATAGAGCTTCTCTGACATGCTTATGCTATCCTTCTCCAAAGCAGCAAGTTACCTGATTCAATAGAATAAAATGTCCATCCTCAGTTATCTCTAACTCAGCACAACTTTTTTCTACCTTTTATCAGAACGTTATATACTGTCATTTTTAGCAACTCAAAACTTGTGAAATATACTTTATATTGCTTTACTAAATGTAAAGTGCTTTTTCTACTGATTTTTTTTAGTATGGTCATTTGTGAATTTGTGAAACTTTTGTGTACCTTTTGTGTACCTCTTGTGTGTCCACTGATCAATGATAAAATGGGGAAGAATGAGATCTTACTACACACATCTTCATGAGACTGTCACGTCAGGAACTTAATTAATGTCATTTGTCATATCTTAATGTATTTTTTGTCAATTTTGGAATTTGATCAGATCTTTGATGGTCTCTGTTAAATGTTTTCACTACTTTTCTGTACTCTTGGCAGTTTAAAGCTTAACATTGTGTAAAGATACCTGTATATTGTTACACGTTAACCTCTGGGTGTTTTTTGGTTTTTGGTGTTGTTGTCTCATAGACTTATATCTCTACCCACAAAAATTAGTATCCCATAAATAATAATAAATCAACAGCATCACTCAATTTATAGTTCTTATTTCACTACTTTTATATACATTTTAAACACAAATTCTTTTCAGTAACTCATCCACCAGTGTTTCACTAAAGCTCTTAACATCCCTGTGAGTAATACTTACCGGAGTTATATACCGGTACTCATCTACCATACTATCATCTGACTGGTCATCAGGGTATCTGGCCATATGTAGGTCAGTATTGACCATCTGTTTGGCCAATTCTTCTAAAGGTTGACCAGCCATAGAGGTAACAGTCTTTCGTCCCTCTGTTTGGAGACCAGCTGATTCTACAGTTCGATAGCCTTTTATTAAATTCACTAAAAATACAATTACATTCAAAATATTACCACAAATTCGTGCACAGAAAATTCAATTCAATGGTTCATAATAAGTAAAAACCAACATACCAAATATAAATAAAATCCATCAAATGATACATAAGGAGTTTAGCTGTCTCTGTTAGATTATTTTTGCAGATGCATGGATAGGAGAAACCAGTGCACAAAACAGTACATAGAAAATGACTCTCACTGCTGATATCTAGGTATAAGTTAATTCATAAAGCAGATCTTGCTGTATCTGTGGTAATTCCTTTATTTCAATTTTAACAGAACAGATGTGATAAAAAAAAGTCAGGATTTTGAATTACTAAGTGAACAGACTTTATCTACATACAGGAACAAGATCTTAAAGGATAATGCTAGCTTTGAAATGTCTCTATATAAAGTCCACACAGAGGAACATGACCTTAAAGGGTAATGCTAGCTTTGAAATGTCTCTATATAAAGTCTACACAGAGGAACATGACCTTAAAGGGTAATGCTAGCTTTGAAATGTCTCTATATAAAGTCTACACAGAGGAACCTGATCTTAAAGGGTAAAGCTAGCTTTGAAATGTCTCTATATAAAGTCTACACAGAGGAATCTGATCTTAAAGGTTAATGCTAGCTTTGAAATGTCTCTATATAAAGTCTACACAGAGGAACCTGATCTTAAAGGGTAATGCTAGCTTTGAAATGTCTCTATATAAAGTCTACACAGAGGAACCTGATCTTAAAGGGTAAAGCTAGATTTGAAATGTCTCTATATAAAGTCTACACAGAGGATCCTGATCTTAAAGGGTAATGCTAGCTTTGAAATGTCTCTATATAAAGTCTACACAGAGGAACATGACCTTAAAGGGTAAAGCTAGCTTTGAAATGTCTCTATATAAAGTCTACACAGAGGAACCTGATCTTAAAGGGTAATGCTAGCTTTGAAATGTCTCTATATAAAGTCTACACAGAGGAACATGACCTTAAAGGGTAAAGCTAGATTTGAAATGTCTCTATATAAAGTCTACAGAGGAACCTGATTTTAAAGGGTAATGCTAGCTTTGAAATGTCTCTATATAAAGTCTACACAGAGGAACCTGATCTTAAAGGGTAAAGCTAGATTTGAAATGTCTCTATATAAAGTCTACACAGAGGAATATGACCTTAAAGGGTAAAGCTAGCTTTGAAATGTCTCTATATAAAGTCTACACAGAGGAACCTGATCTTAAAGGGTAATGCTAGCTTTGAAATGTCTCTATATAAAGTCTACACAGAGGAACATGACCTTAAAGGGTAAAGCTAGATTTGAAATGTCTCTATATAAAGTCTACAGAGGAACCTGATTTTAAAGGGTAATGCTAGCTTTGAAATGTCTCTATATAAAGTCTACACAGAGGAACATGACCTTAAAGGGTAAAGCTAGCTTTGAAATGTCTCTATATAAAGTCTACACAGAGGAACCTGATTTTAAGGGGTAAAGCTAGCTTTGAAATGTCTCTATATAAAGTCTACACAGAGGAACCTAATTTTAAACGGTAATGCTAGTTTTGAAATGTCTCTATATAAAGTCTACACAGAGGAACATGACCTTAAAGGGTAAAGCTAGCTTTGAAATGTCTCTATATAAAGTCTACACAGAGGAACCTGATCTTAAAGGGTAATGCTAGCTTTGAAATGTCTCTATATAAAGTCTACACAGAGGAACATGACCTTAAAGGGTAAAGCTAGCTTTGAAATGTCTCTATATAAAGTCTACACAGAGGAACATGACCTTAAAGGGTAATGCTAGCTTTGAAATATCTCTATATAAAGTCTACATAGAGGAACCTGATCTTAAAGGGTAATGCTAGCTTTTAAATGTCACTATATAAAGTCTACACAGAGGAACATGACCTTTAAGGGTAATGCTAGCTTTGAAATGTCTCTATATAAAGTCTACACAGAGGAACATGACCTTTAAGGGTAATGCTAGATTTGAAATGTCACTATATAAAGTATACACAGAAGAACCTGATCTTAAAGGGTAAAGCTAGCTTTGAAAAGGCCCAGTTTAGAGATAAATAAACAAGTCAGCACCACAAAAGGCAATCCAATAGGACTGTTGATGGTTGAAAACATAACAAATATACATGTATTGTAAAAAAAATTAAGCATCTTGATACATTTTTGTTAGAATCTGAGTCATTTGTACAAAGGATGAATTGCCCTATCCCAATCAAGATAGTTGCTTCTACATTGGCCACCACCCCTGCTTAGATAGCTACATTAATAATTCAGAAACTGGATTTTCCAAGCTGACATTTCATGTTTTTTGTGGAATCAATAGCTGAACTAATTAATTAATAATAATCTCATATAAAAAGGCCAATACTAAAATAAGATAAATCTAATATTTCAAAAGACTAACAAATCAATTTTTTTATTAGTCTTATCCTATATTACGCTAATCGGCTAATGTGTTCAAAATTCCATAGAAAGCTGTCAAATCAATCAGTATTAAAAGGCTCTAACCAGCTTACCATAAAAGATAACAATGACTCCGTAGTTATTCTATAATACACTACTGATACAACTTTAGAGTCTGTCAAGCCAATAATTTAATGTTTAATTTATGCAACATCTTTAAGGAAAAGAATTTATCTCAACTTGAAAATTTAGACAAGGATTTGACCACAATATGGTCCCCTTATTGCTGTATTATAAAATTCCTTTACAAGTCAAAACCTTGCTTGTAATGATACAATAATTATAATCCAGTTAATAAAATATTTAAATCCCACCAGTGTAAAAGGTATTTAACCTGTCAATGTAAATCAAAGAAACAGGGTATAAGATATTGACAGTGTAAGCTTTATTGTGTCGTCAAATGGGGTCTCTTGTAGGTTAATATCCTGCCAACAATAGTTCACTTATCATATTGATGTAACATAGATGTCCCCCTTACTAATACATGGAAATGGCGGCAAATTAATGTCTATAAAAATAAATATCCTACTGAAATCATCTATTAAAAATAGTCAGGTCTATTTATATATAGGTAGCACAAAGTTAAGAAAACCAGATTTAGTTTTTAAATCTGTAGAATAATGCATGGATTTACACTTTGAATTTTAAAGATCTTTTTCGGTGAATGATATTCCTACTCCTAGATATTAAACTTCATTGGGTTCTTCAATGTTTTAACTTTTTGATCCTTTTAAGTTTTTTTTTTTTTTTATAAAACTAATTTTATTCACTGAAGTCATTTGTTCCTCCCATAACATTATATCATTTAACAAATAGAACATATGGTTCAATAAGATGTCAGGTTTAGACTCAAATTTCAAATGAATTGATCAATGACTAAACATGGTAAGCCTTTTCATGTCCCCTTGGTTCACTCCCAGCATCTGTTGTCTAATATAGATCAATAAAATAAATAATAAATAAAACACTGCCTCCACACATTCTCTTGGGAATATCAATAAAAATTTCATAACAATCTGTTGGAAAAACAAATTTTCACTTTACAGCAAATTCCTTCAAAAAATGTGGATAAAAGGTTTGCTAATTCTTGAGTTATGTTTACTTTATGATCAAAAGAGAGCTTTATAGTTTATTATTTGGTAATAATAACCAGCCTTTGTTAAATGACTCAACATCATAACATACAAATAAAGTCAGTGACAAAATATACCATCTACATAAACACATGCATGGGAAAATTTGAACCATATTTTATTAAAATTTTATACATTTTATATATTAATAACAAGGTCATTAAAAATCTAAGGTATTCTTTTTTTTATCAAAATGACAATTTCAAAACTTTATTTGTATATGGACCAGATAAAGGTAAAAGGATTTCTAATGTTGAAAAAAATAAGATCAGCGTTAAAATGGCATTTTTCTTTTGAAATTCTCCACTCCTATGTACCGTAGTGTCTTATCTCTGCTGTCTGAAATCCTAGCAATAGTTATTTAAAAACATTACTACTAAATATTCTTGTAGTTAGAAATCACTGCTTGATAAAGACTGGATTTCACTGCAGAATTAATGGTTCATGGCAGTGTAACTTTCAACTTTACTACAAATTATACAGAAGTAATTTGTACATTACCTGAATTTAATATAGGGAGAATCTCATCCCACTGACCATCTATAGCAAGCTGTCTGAAAATCTGAAATATATGAACACATATTTATTGATGAATTTGTAAAGTATGTTTATTGAACAAGTTAATCACTATGCATTAAACAACATTGGCTATTAATTTAATTCTTATATTGTAAATAAGTGGAAAAAAGTATTGATTCTTTCAAAAGATTCTTCACACAGTATTTCTATTTTTCATAGCTAAAATAAAGGATGCAAAGATATTATATAATATTTTTGCATGTGTTATAACTTATCGTTGTACAATTTTTTTCTGCCATCCCAATGTTGTTGCTAATTGCATTAAGATTCATTTATATTCAAAGGCTTTCATAAAGTTTCTGGCAAGCTTATTGAATATCTACATATAATCTGCAGTATTTTGGAAACCAGAAGCTGTATTTATAATAGGTTCTGATGCAATTAAACCAAACAATGTTGAGTTAACTACAAAAACTTACTTATCTTGTACTATAATATTATCTAATACAATGCTACTATTACATGTATTACCTGAAGATGAACTTCATTCTGTTTCAATCTTTCCTTTAAAATTTTCATTTCTTCTTCAGTTTCAGGGGCTTGCTGTAAAATACATACAAAGTACTGAATTTCATTATTCTTATGATTTTTTTTATATTTAATATACGTATTCTGTACTTTCCAGTTAAGGCCACTTCCCATAAACCTTTCAACTAAAACATCATTACAATGATGACAATGTTTATATGTGTTTCAGAAAGATTTCAAATGAGAAATGAGACAAAATTTACTCAATGTAAGACAAATATTTATTATTTAAACCTTTGAAACATGTTAAATATAAAACTCAGCACCTCAAATGTGTTTCAATCTATCAATACAGAAGGTAATGGAGAAAATCTATTACATCCCAGTAGATTTACTGTACCTCACAATATTTGAAATAAAAGACCAATTAAAACCCTCTACCATCATGACCATGTTTGAAGTTGTGATTCGTATGGGAAAATGGCAACCAGCTACCTAGAGTAATCTTGCACGGAGGCCATAGGGAAAACATTTGACATTACAAATTCAATATGAAATATAGCTATATGTGTAGTACAAACCTTTCCCTGTAGCAGCTGGTCATTTCTCTGTTGTAACTGAGCATTCAACTGCTCAACATTATGTAACTGAGCTTCTGTATGCTCTATCAGGGCCACACGTGCCTCCATCTGTTTATACTCCTTCTGTGGGAGTTTGACTACTGACTTTGAAGACGCTAGGTTCTGATACTCCAGTAATCTGCTCTTCAAGTGAATATTCTGTTTCCTCAGAATGACCAATCTTTGTTGACATTCCTCCAGTTTATGAGGTATTTTACTTTCTGACACCTCTGATAATTCCTGTGAATATTATAAAAAAATTTATAGATATACCTGGTATACATTTATTTTTGCAAAGATATTAACTTAAATTTTAATGTAATTTTTTATCAAAATATTGAAATTAGGCAATTAACACTTAAAATTACAGCTGTTTTAATACTATAAATAACATGTGACAATGGGAATGGGACAAGAATAACTTTTTGGAAAATAAATTATTAAATATGATAATGCATAATGCCATTAATATCTCTGTATATGGTTTGATTAAAAAAAATCATGGAAAGATGGATTGTAGGATGGTCAAGGGTAACACGTAATGCCTTCGCTGCCTACGTCAGGGGAATAAAAAACATCAAATAGTTTTTAGCATACTATTAATATATGTACAGAGGAATGTACTGAGTATGACGACATTGAATTCAGTTCAGTAACTTTTGTTACCTGTATGTACATATAAAACCAATTCACTTTGTTTTATCATACTTATTTAACTTAATTTGAATGGGATAAAGACATGGTTATACAGCAATCAATTGAAATCTGTTGTAATGTCTAGCGTTTAGCATGCACAAAAATTACAAGTTTCAACAAAGATAATTGAGCATAGACTATGATTTGGTTTTGATATTCTGGATACTATTTAAGTATCCTGGAAATAAAACAGCTTACCTGACTGTCAAAACTTTCTATTTGTTGAACCTTATACTTCAGTCTATTTTCACTTCTCTGCAATGTACTGATTTTTTCTTTCAACATTTTCTCATTTTCCTCCAGTTTATGTAATTGTTCCTCGATATCAACTCCAGATAACCGTTTTGCCTTCACTTTACTCTCCAAATCCTTCTCAGACTTTTCTAACACATGTTTTTCTTCCTTGAGTTGTGAGTAAGCTTCATGTAAGGAAACACATTGTTGATCCAACATGATCAGCTGACTTTGTAACTGAGAGGTCTGATGGACTAAAGCACCGTTTTCCTGAATAGCTTGATTTAATTGTTGTGTTAACACTATGTTTGAATTATGAAGTTCCACAGCTTGTGCCTCTGTGCTACTTCCAGAACTTTCTAATTCCCCTAGTCTTTGATTCATAGCTTTTTCTTTATTCTCCTGGTCTTTCATTCTCTGAACTAAATTAGCTTCTGCATTTTCTAATTCCTTCAATCGTAATGCCAAATATTCTGATTTTTCTGAATAACTTAATTTCTCCTTTTGAACATTTTCTAATTGCTTTTTCAAATTATATTCAGAGACAGTTAATTCTGAGACTGATGTTTCCAAATTGGCAGATTTTGATAACCACACTTCTTCATCTAGTTTATATTTCCTTACGAGTTCTTTTAGTCTCATTTCTAGAATTTCAAGATCACTTATTCTGTCCTCCATTTTGCTTATTTCATTTTCAAGTTCTCCAACTTTCTTGTATAACTTATTTTCTGAGGCTTCATAGTTTGAGACTTGAACCTTTAACATTTTCTCTGCTAGCTGTAATTCCCTTATTTTCACATTCTGTTCATGAATCAAAGCTTTGTCTTTCCTTGTGATATCATGCAATTCTTCTCTATCACTTTCTAAATCTGCTACCTTAAAAACGTAAAAATCATATCTTTATTAAGGAATATTGATATAATCTTATAATGCATCACACTTTTGCTTTTGAAAGTTATCATCCATAAAGTATAAATTACAGAAAATATTAGCAATTGTTATCATCTTTGCCTCTAATCAAAAATGTATGATTTGCTTATTTTTTGCTTAATATTCAGTAGCAAATATTTCATGCATACTCAGGACGACTAGTTAAATGTGTGTCCCTTAATTATCATCAACAAGACAACAATAACATGTAGCATCCTATCAAAAGTGTTACAGAATACTGAAAGCATCTTATTGTATACAGCATAAAGATATAATATGCTCACATCAACCATACCATCAATATAAAAGTTTAAGATAGGAAATGTTTTGTAAATGATTTTATATTGACTTTGTAAGATGCCAAATTTCTGCAGTTTGTTTAGGAATAAAATCTAATGTATTGTTTTAAAAAAATCTTCTCATGTAATAAACAATAGATCATCTGTTTTAAACCTTTTATTGAGACACTTATCATCTGTTTTAAACCTTTTATTGAGACACTCATCATCTGTTTTATACTTTTCTCTTGTATTGTTTTGTCTAGGAGAGTTTCATATCTGATTAGTAAATGTTTTTGATATTGTAAAGCACAATCATAACATTATTCTTAGTTTTTATGAACAATTTGTTTGCTTTTTTTGATTTCCTAACAGACAATAATACAGCAATTTGTATTTCAATAACTATTTAGTTTGCTGGTGTACTTATTACCAGAACCAAAAGTAGAACAGCGCGTTGTCAGATCCTTGTCAGCAAGCATAGAATAGACACAGGATATGTCTTTTAATCAGCTTGTTCTTGTCTCAACTGACCTTTACCCAATACTCTCCTTTTATAGAAAGTATGAAAAGAGCTACCTGTCTGGAACAAGATTCTTTTTTATCCAAACATACACATTCAGAACATTTTGGTCCTTTGTTATCTAGAGGATAGTTGTCTCATTAGCAATCATACCACATATTATCATCATGCTTATTATAATACATGTATTTATTATACATGAATACTGGACTACATTACCTGTTTCTTTAAATGTTTTTCTAATTTTTCCAACTCCATGATTCTCTGCCGAAGAATATCTTCTGGCTTTTCTATTTCTCCCGTCATGGTTAAGGGTTCTCTGGCTTGGTCTTCGTCAGAGTTATTAGTTTGACTAGAACTGTCCTCAGTATCTACATTCTGGGTCAACTTTTGCTCTGGTCGTTGATGGAATTCTTGGTTTTTCTTCTCCAACACAGATAATTCTTCCTGAAGTGTAACTTTATCTTTTTGGACAGTTGATATAGATTTATTCAATTCCTCTATCTCTGACTTGTAATGGTTCTCTAACAACTTGTTAGCATCTCTGAAAAGACAAAAGTTAAAGTTAAATAGTTGTATGATAAGTTTTTATTTAATGGTATTGTCAGAAGGTTACAAATTTTAATTCATGAGATATAAGGTATACATAATTCAGAGAGTAACTCAATGACACCAAAAAAAAAAACCCAAAGACATCTAGAGGTCAATATATAGAACAATAGACAACCATCTATACAGTTTGTACAGCTCTATAATCCACAAAGTCTGGGAAAGTTGTGAATAAATTTAACATAAATTTGCCACCAAAGTCAAATGAATCCCTGAATGACAAATACATGAGGATAATGAACATCAATCATTGAAATTCAGAACTGTGAAAGACATATAAACATGGTGCTAGGTTTAATTAGTTTTTCAGCCTGATCAAACCCCTGATTTAGAAAAATGAGGTGACACATATCTCATATATTTTTTTCTAATGGTTATTTGTGTCATTGGGTTACTGTCCCAAGGACACATATCACATAACTATATTATTCATATATAGTCTTAATAAATAGACAAGTGTTTATACTATATGTCTAGATCTAAATTGACCAAAGTCTTAAAATGTCGAGGTTCCCGACTGGTTACAGTCATATGACCATAATGGCCAAATGGCTGTTCCGAAAAAAAAAACTTTTGTGGTACATCCATAAATTTCTATGGATTGTTAGCTATAGAACATATTTTTACATAAAGTGTATGGTGAATATTCTATGGTTTTTGAGATTTCAGAAATAGAACTTTCAAAGACCCCACTGTACTCTTTTTCAGAAACAGCTAAAAAGAAAGGCATTTATATTAGTTTTTTTAAAATGGATACAGTAACAATTTCCAAATTTGACTCCTAATGAATTAAGATTTACTGTAAGTCACTATGTTTTATTTTTTTACTATATCAGACTAGGAGTAATTATAGATTAGTACCTGAATAATGTGATGACTGCAAGACATAAATAATTAATTGGTAAACAAATGTTACCGTTAGTTTTCTCATTTGAATTGTTTTACATTTGTCATTTCCATGCCTTTTATAGCTGACTATGCGGTATGGGTTTTGCTCATTGTTAACTTCTGCATCATTTGGTCTCTGGTGAAGAGTTGTCTCATTGGCAATCATACCTCATCTTCTTACTTTCTATAAATGTTAACTTACAATATGATGAATAAAACTGTATTCCACAAGGCCTATCTGTTAAAGTACCTTTTATAGTCAAAATATACTTATAAAATCTGTATTTTTCACTTTACAGGTATTCCTTTAATTACCGGTAAATACCAAAGACCAATTAGACCTATGCATATCTACTGGAATTCATAAGTACCTTTTACAGAACTATGGTTCCTAGGTAACTTATGAAGTCTATTTAAAAAGAGGTGTAAAATAACCATCATTCTATTCAACTGTTTAGTTAAGGTCATATCCAATGCATCTTATAACAACAGTCATATTCATATGAGAATGCAATATGAGAATTCTATATAATTATTGATGTGAAGTTCTTGGTAAGATATAAAACTCCCTTTAATCAGGTTCAATAAGACTTTCTATAAGGTTTTAATAAAAGGCAAAAATAATTCAAGTGATTTAATAATCAAATTAATCAGATTACTGAACATGACGACTTTTTGTTTACAGTCTAAAGGAAATACCACACACTCACATAAGTGCAATCCTTTTAATTTTTATCAAATATGTTATGCAGTCAGATTTAAATTTGAACCTTTAGAATATAAGAATTTTGCATATCATACTTTTTATACTCCATTAAGTAAAGCAGGGGATCGGAGTCTATAATGATAATGTGTCTATAGTGATGATGTGTCTATTGGTACAATTGTTTTGTAATTTGTCTGTAGGCCCTATGTATCCACAACTGCTCCTTAACCAGAAAAGGGATTTCATGATACAGCTTTCAGAAAAACTTTTGCCATTTCTTAACAAACTGGTTTACTATTCCTGTATCACTGAGATTGTTCAGTGTTTCAACAGATCTGACTTAACAGTTTACTCTTTTAATTTGTCTACATTCTTGTCTTATGGAAATTGGTTTCATTTCTATAAGATTATAGGCATGTTTTCTTCCATTGATCATAATTCTAATGAACAAAACTTGTTTACTAAATCTCTTTAAAAATTTTGGTCAAATTTCATGCAACCTAACCTGTAAGGACTGATGATAAAACAATAATTTGGTCACATTATTTATGGACTGCAATATTAAACATGAAACCCTGCAAGTCACAATTGAGTTTTTAATTTACATGTATTTTTTGCTTTATAGTGTATATCTAAATATTTTGGGACATCTCCTGGACTATTTTCCATGATTATAATGATCTGGGTTAAATACCTTCAGGTATTCAATCTCACAAAGTAAACAAGCATTTAAACTATCTTAATGTCTTCTTTAGGTTTAATTGTCAGGGTGTTGTAAATTCCTTTAAAACTTTTGACTGACAAAAGAAATTTACGAAACTATGTCAGGTATTGAAATTGTTTGTCAGCACGATTCTCTTAGAACTGCTTAGTATAATGAACTTATTCAACCACAGTTTATCAAAAGCAATTTCTTTCATCAATATAGGGATCACATATATTTGACAATTTTGCTCTTGGAGATCAATGGACCCTATGTAATGTAAGCCTTGTTTTCATTAGGCTGTTTTGCTGTATTTGATATACAACCTTATAAATGTCAATCAACTCAGATTTCAACTTCATTTAATTTTAGGATATTCGTAATTTGGATTTTTACCAATAATTTCTTTTTTAAGAGTGTGATACTTTAGATAATAGAATATATATGTTAAAATCATTTTGAGGGAAGCGATATAAACTTAATATAACTGTCTTATCATTGGTCAACAATGACTTCAGTATGAATTCATAATAGCATTTATACAACAAGCATTACTTTTGTTTTAATATTTCAAGTATTATCAAAATCAATGAAGGCCAAAGTCATTATTTAGGTCAACAAGTAAAACTGTTTTCAGTGTGACAAACACTTTTCCCTTGAAATAAATTTAAAAAGTTCTAGACAACACTTTCAAAAAAAAACATAAATAACATCTAGTTTTACTGTCTATTGTGCAAACTATCTATAAAAAACAATGCTTGGTATGAACCCAGTTTGTATAAAAAGCCATATCCCTAGATGTTAACATGATTTCAATCAAATGATTAAAAACTGACAACATATATGACAATGTCTCATCAGAGAATGCCAAGAACTGACAATCTACAGCATCACAAATATATACATTCTTTCAAAAATTTCCCAATTCAAAGTTTGTTTACAAATTTGTAGAATGAACAAAATGATAAGTAAAGTTTACCTTTATTGAGAGTAAAATTCCAAGTGTTTGATTTACAAGATACAGCATGTAGTCAACATTTAATATATTTACACCTAGATTACCTGGACAGGTAAGATTAACTAAAGTCAATCAATAATCAATCTAACTTTATTTGTTTAAGACATTAATTATTGACCTAGAAGAAACTGATGCCAAATGGCAAGGTATTCTTTTCTATGACCACTTAATTAAAGGTTAATTAATAAAACAGGTAGAAGATCAATATTGGAGTTACAGATCTATGGGTGGGATCCAATTCTTATTTCCATTTAATATCTATTTTTAGAATGAGTTTCTTGTAATGGAAATGGATTGTTTACTATATTTCAAAAAGTTTTCAGTTATTAAATGCTGTTTTATGGAAAAGAATTGCAAAATATCTTCATGAAATATTTAAAACCAAAATATTCTGGTATTTAAAAGTTTTCAATTAGATCTTTAGCTAATTACCGATAAGACATTCTTTGGCATACATAAATAAGGTCGTTAAAGAAATACTGAAAACAGTACAGTTTTGGCAATTCTCCTGACTCAGCAAAAAACAACATGTAATATAAACTACAGTATTTTTTTTCCATTCAATGTAAATATGTACCTATCGTTCAACCATCAAATTTCATCATACCACAAAATGTACCCCACCCATTATGATAGTGGTACTATATACAACTTTCCTCTATTTATTTGTAGTATGATATTATCATCATTATTATTATCATATAATTTTGCATTCCATATATATTAGAATATAAAGTGAATTAGTAAGTTGAATAGAGAAATGAATCATGTACATTCCACAACAGCCTATTTAATGGACTACTAAATAGGGGCGTCGCTAATAAGTGGGATGTATATAAAACTTACATCTTTAACTTTTCCAAGTTTAGAACATGTGTACCAAGATTTCCTTCATTTATTTAATTATACCAAAAAATCAAGGTTTTATTTTTGTACATGGACATTTCATAGTGCTGTAGCCTCACTATTTAACATTGAGTTATTAATTCTACGTCACCCAATCCAAACAGTATACCTGTGTGACCCAAACTATTACACTTGTCTTGTTCCTGGAGATAGACATTACATTCAGTGTAAAGAGCTATATCTACTAGACCCATCCTCTCAGAGACTTGTATTGACCACCTTTGAAGACCCACTTAAGTGACTTTTCTTGATTCCTTCTTTAGATAGATTAGAGTGACTTGCCTGGACCCCTTTGGAGACCCACCTAAGTAAATTGGTTTGATTCCTTCTGAAGACCAATTTGAGTGACTTGTCTTGATCCCTTTACATGTGATTAGACCCCCTCCCCTGAATGCCTTGTACTGATCCCTCTCAGGAGACCTACCTTAGTAACTTGTTCTTGCAAACCAGATTATCTGTTCATTATACATTTATCATTAGACCACCTTCCCACTGAGTGACTTGTCCTTGTCTTGACCCCCTCCCTTCCAGAGACCTACCTGAGTGACTTGTCTTGTTCCTGTAGACCAGATATTCTGTTCACTATACAAACTTAACATGTCAACAGACCCCCTTCCACCCTCATTGACTTGTCCTGACCCCTCAGAAGACCTTCCTGATTGACTTGTCCTGACCCCCCTCAGAAAACCTACCTGATTGACTTGTCCTGACCCCCTCAGAAGACCTACCTGATTGACTTGTCCTGACCCCCTCAGAAGACCTACCTGAGTGACTTGTCTTGTTCCTGCAGACCAGATATTCTGTTCACTATACAAACTTAACATGTCAACAGACCCCTTCCACCCTCATTGACCTGTCCTGACCCCCTCAGAAGACCTACCTGAGTGACTTGTCTTGTTCCTGTAGACCAGATATTCTGTTCACTATACAAAGTTTACATGTCATAAGATCTTTCATTATAACTTGGAATGGTTCGTCTAAGGTCATCTGCAAAAAAGAATACATTTCTTATGAAACTGTTGTCTGGATTAAATTCTTTTCATGTAATACAAGGATGAGATGGACCTTATTCTGATGAGTTATATCAGAAAACTGACAATGTCAGGAAGGGTCCAACTCACACATTTTCATGTGAGGCACAAAAACAAATTTTAATTTGATACAAGCAAAGCAATACATTTAATACCGTTTCATAAAAAATCAGCAAATTTTACCACTGAAATCACTTTGGAATGACATTTTATACCTCTATATTAATTTTCATGCTTAGCAAGAACATTTTCTCAAAATTTGTGCTTAATTAACCAGTATTTGACAATTATTTTTCTAATTTAAAAAAATATCTTGTAATTATACATATTTTCCAATTTTCATTGAAATCCTGGCACAAAAAGATATCTCTCAAAATTTGTGATTGTTTTTTTTTACAAAAACTTACTTTTTCAACAAATCTAATTTGCAAATTTCCCCCAAAAATAAAAGTTAACAAAATCTACATTTTATGCACAGCAACTGTGAAGGATTTCATTTGCCTCTTACCCATGCTTTTGGAATTTTTCTATTCACAAGAAAAAAATATTTCTCAAAATTTGAAGTTTTTTTTAACAAAAACTAAGTACTGTTTTGTTTTCAAAAATTGTTGTGGGGCCATAAGGGCTACCTAATCCTAGATGCAGGGCCCTTATGATCATGCAGTGCAATCATAGTTCTAAATCAGCCAAAAAAAAATCAGGTGATGCAGAATAGCTTCAAATAAGAATAAAATTTATATTGGGATCTTGTATTTTTGTATAGGTTTCACATCCGAAATCAGTTTATAGTAAAAAAAAAGAGTGTTAAAAGTGTTCTACAGATATTTTGATCCTGTCTGCCTATGACCTTGTCTATGACCTTGTCAGGATAAATCAATATTCAACTGTGTGAACTGTGACAAACAACATGACATGGGGAAGAAAAACCTATTGACAAAGGACAGACAAAATACATCTGTTAATATCAGTTTCCTTTTCCTTCTAAGACGAAAAATGTACATGTTTTTTCTCACCTGATTTACTCTTATTACTTATACAGTCATTTTGAACATCACTATTAAAATCAGAAAAACAGGGTTTCAATTCAAAAATTTATAAAAAAAAATAATACTCAAATAGACTAAAATAGCAAATTTAATGAAAACACACTGCACTGGTATTAAGATGTTGTGGTCCTCTTATTAAAGGTTCACACTTATACCAGACAATCACCTTAAGTTTGTTTTCTTTTCTAAATCCAATAAATTTATTTTATAGCTATGATCATCCAGACATTTTGTTATTTCATTCAGCTTCAGGACAAAACTTTAACAAAAGTGAAGAATAAGATATAAATGTCCTTCCGATGACTGGACAATAGTTTACACCTTTATAACATGTTGTGTCTAGAGGTCAATGTTTTGATGTTTATTTGTTGTTGTTTTGATTGTCCAGTTAAGATGTTTAAGTAGTTTCCTGCTGTTTTAGTTTTACTTGTCACTATAATATTACCATATTTTAAAAACTTTTAATCATCCCCTTTACACTAATGATTAGGATAATACAGGAGCACAGCAGGACAATAGAAATAATATCTTTGACATTAACCTGTACCTTAAATCAGGAAAAGAACAAATATGGGCTGGTTATACAGGGGATAAAAATACTAGAAAGTAGAGAAAGAAAAAATTCTTATAGATTAACTTTGATTCTGTAAACAACAGGAATTTCTCTGCTACAATATCATCGATGGGTGATAGATCTGAGATGAGATAAATCAGAAAAACTTCCTCCAGTTAGAAGGACAATGATAATCTGTTTTATATCAATATTTTCCTATGCAACATGAATGACATACAATATCATGCATTCTTGTTCTACTCAAATGAGAAAAACCCATATCACTCCACTGAGATGAAAAATTAACATTCAGAAAAGGAAAGGAAACTTTGAAAATAGCCAAAAACACTATATTTTTTATTGCTATTCTTCATCTACACATGATGAGTTTAAACTTTATATATAGAATAACTATACCAGGTACATTGTCTCCGAATATAAAATTTATTTGTACAAGGCTTAGAAACAGGATGCAAGATTTTGCCAATCACATTACCAGCCAAGTACAAATAAAATTTATATAACAAAACGATGTATGGTTTATACTACAGCACTCACAACTGTTCCAAATGAAATATTTTGGGTAAAAACCATCAAGTTTCAATTTGAAGCGGACTACATAAAAATTCCAGAAACCTTTTTCCTTTATTGGTGTTGCATCAAAATAAAACTCTACAGAAACACATTAGGAATGGTCAGTGACTGTAAATCACAAATGAATATACTGTCAATGCAATCTGACTGTGCAAATAGCCCAGTTGCAGTATAAAACAAGATATTAATTTTTATGTTTGTAGACAAAAAATTTGTATTCTGAGACGATTTGTTGATTTTGGCTATTGCCAATTCTAAGTTGTACACCTAAATTCAATATCACTATATTAATAAAATACATTCATTATTTCTTTCAATAAATATCTAAATCTCTGAGTTTTGTAAAAACTTTGAATTTCACTGATATTCAAAATTTAAGTATTAGTTTGAATTCACTTCCAGTTTAATAAAATATTTTGTTTATTTTATTGTTCTTTGTTTGTTTTCTGAACCAATCAAATTTCAGTTGTTGTATCAGTGTTAAATATTTTTTGGCAGTTGATGTTATATCTTTTATAAAGTACAGAATCAACGTATATTTTTACTTACCAGATGACTTGGGAGTATACAGTCAGTGGATGAAGATGTATCCAGTTCTAATTGGTCCCTATAATCCTGAACTAAATCATCTAATCCACCCTGGAATGTGGACAACTGTTTTGGCAGTTTCAGATTTGATCCACATGTCATACATGTATCTGTGTGGATACTTTCCACTGAGTTTTGATTATTATCAGAACTTAATCTTGATCCCGATCCTTTCATCACTTTTGATTGTAAATAGCTATTTGATTTTCTTACTATTTCTAATTGTTTTTCAGCATCACTCTTTGCCTTGTTGGCTTTCTCTACTTTAAGCTGGAACTCCATACTTGATGTTTCAGCAGTTAATGATTTTCTTTTTAAACTCAGAATCGTCTTTTTAGAATTTTCTAAATTTGATTGCACTTCTTCATATAGTTGGTCCATCTCTTTAAGTTTACTCTCCATTTGCTGTCGTGAAATTTCTGCAAATTCCATTTTTCTCTCTGCAGTCTTCTTTGATTCTATTGCATCCTTAATTGTTTTTTCAATTTCATCTTTTGATTTTTGAACACTTTCTAAATTTGATTGTAATTCAACATTTGATTTTTCAGAATTTTCAAGTTTTGATTCTGTTTCTGTTTTTGCATCCTCTGTCACACGTAACTTATTTCTTGTCTCCTCCAACCGACCCTCCAAATCCTTATTCCCTTGTGTTAGCTGTTCATTAAGTTTGTGCACCTCAATATTATCTTTTTTCAATGCAAACTCACTTTCCTCCACTTGAGCCAATTCATTTTCAAGCCTTTGAATTTTGTCTTCCAATTTATCTTTCAACATATCAAACTGATCTATGTCCTCTTCTGATGTTTGAACTTTATGTTCTAAATCATCAACAGTGTCTAACAATTTTTCCTTTTCCTTTTCTAAAGAATTCAGATTATCTTTAAGACTTTTTTCAGAATTTTCAGTTTCATCCAGTTTAGTTTGAATTTCATTGAATTTATTTTGTAATTCTTTTAAATCATTATCAGCTTTCAAAGCTTTAGTTTTCTCCTCAGACAAATGCAACAATAAGCTATCTTTCTCTTTGGTCAGATCAGCCTTGGCATGTTCCAGTTCCAAGATCTTTTCAAAGTTTGCTTCACTATGTACTTGGCTAACACCAGAGGAATTAAGTTCATTTCTTAATGTATTATTTTCTAATTCTAAACTTTCCACTTTGTTTTCCATATCTTCCATTGTTGATTGTACTTCTGACAGTTCTTGTTCAACTTCAGCAAGACGATTCTCTGCTGCCTTTGCTCTCCTTAACTCTCCTTTGACACGATCTTCAATTTCTTCCAACTCCATGACTCTCTCCATCAATTTATCCTCTGATCCTTCCAACATTTTAATTTTTTCTGATAACTGTCTTACTTGTTTATCAGTCGATGTCAAACTAGACAATTTCTCCGTCAAACTTGTATTTTCATTTTCTAAATCTTGTAAACGTTCAAACAGTCCAGTGACCTTACCAGGACTGTTTGATCCGTCACTTTTTACATCCATCAGATCAATGGTATCAGTTTGTTTATCACAACGTAAGTGGTCAGTCTTACTTTCGGAGATTAAAGCCTGGGATTTAACACAGAATTCCTCAACACAAGTGTCATTAAGAGGGATTTCACCTTCTGTCGACAATGATGGAATGTTATCATTGAGGTCATTCGTGTCAGTTTCTTGATCATGAACACATAATTGAACATCCTTGTTATTATTGTCTAACTGAGCCCTAAGGCCCTGCTCTATCTCTTCAAGTTCAGTCACTCGATCCATTAACTTTATCTCAGCATCTTCTAGTACATCTACCTTTTTACGGAGGTGTGTTAACTCTGCACCTTGATGTTCGTATTTATGTAATTTTTCTAAACACTCCTGCTCGGATGAATCAAGTTCTATCAAGCGTTCATTTAAATCGTCATTTTCCGACTGGACTTGTTGCAGTTCAGTTTCAGTTCTTTGTAAGAGTTCGTCTATGCGACACTTTTCAGTTTTTATTTCACTTAATTCATTATTTAATTGATCAATCATTTCAGTCTGACCATTAATTCCAGATGTTTCACTCTCCTCTAATTCTCTATCAGGTTGACTAGTTTTTAACACTTTGTCAATAAGTTGTCTATTTTCTTCTGCTAATTGTTGGTTTTCTTCATCAGCAGCATCTAACTTTTCCATCATTTCTGTTTCAAATTTCTCAAATTCGCAAATTTTTTCTGTAAATATCTGTTCTTGTTCTATGTAATTTGCTATTTCTTTCTCTAGATGGTCAATTTTTCTTTCATATTTTTCCTCCATTTCTCTCATTCTTTCTTTCAAGTCTGACTCGTGATCTTCCATTGAATCTAAATGCTCAAGCAGATTTTCCTGTGACCGATGTAATTCATGGATTTTGCCTTCATACTGTACAACAGCATCATTTGAATACCTTTTCCCTTGATTAAATTGTAATTGACATTTCAATTCTTTTTCTTCACGCTCCATTTCACTAACAGTCTCACTCAATCTAATTTCATTCTCTTTTAATTTGGCAATTTGTTCTTGTAAACTTTCAATTTTTGTATTTTTTGCCTCCTCCAATGAACTTAATGTACTTTCCAAGTTATTTATCCGGTGGAGCAAAAACTCTATGGTTTGATTGATTTGAGAATCATCTTTTGATTGGTCAACTTCTGAAAGCTCAATAGCTAATGATGGTCGATGTGCGTCTGCTTCAGTATCCTGCTCTTCCAATTTACTCTTCAGCTCGATATTACTCGACTCTAAGCTTTCAATTTTTTCCTCTAGAGATTGTATCCTATTGATGTGTTCTTGAGCACTTTTCTCCCAATTATTTCTCAATATTTCCTCGTTTTCTTCCAATTCTGAACATCTCATTGTCAAAGAATCATTTTCAGTCTGAAGTTCTGATATTGTGTCATTTAGATTTTTCTCAAAAGTAACATCTGCTTCAAATTCCTCTTTCAAATCAAGCCTCTGTTTCAATTCATTGTTTCTAGCCTCTAATTCCTTTATTTTTTCAGTGGATATCAGTTCTGCCTTTCCCAAAATTGTAACCTAAAATAGTCAGGAGTTCAAATATTTAAATGTGCTGTCAAAAACCCTTTCACAAAAAACTGTTTATGACAAGTGAAATTGAATAAGGATTATAAACAAGTTATTATCAATACATTTCATAAAGTAAATTTATTTGATTTTAAGTGACAATGTCAATACAGTTTTGCAGTGTTTTGTTTTTGTTTTTTTTTAATATTTGTCTGTTGACGGAAATAATTCCTAACTCTTTTACTTCACTTAATGCATTTGTAAGTTTCAGAGAAATTGGCAACCAAAATTCTGTATTTTTCAACATGTTGGACACAGATTACATGTTTTCAAGTATTTAATACTGTGTGGTAACATGAAATAATCCACTATATTTTGTCTCATGGCATTACTCCTATTTCCTATCTCTTTCAAAATTGAAAAAAGAACAGTCTTGATGTGACTGAATATTAGAAAATACCATAGCGAGCTCAAGATGATGTTGTAGAGTTTACTTCAGTTAAGCATTTGATCAGAAATAGCTGACATTTTACTTGTTAGACATTTGGTCTAGTAAACAAACAGACATTTGGTCTAGTAAACAAACAGACATTTGGTCTAGTAAACAAACAGACATTTGGTCTAGTAAACAAACAGACATTTGGTCAAGTAAACAAACAGACATTTGGTCTAGTAAACAAACAGACTCAGACTGTATTTTATTGTTTAGTCCACAATAGATTTATTGATTGGTGATTTGTTCTATTTCGTGGCAGTCAGTATTTATTGTCGGAGGAAGCCAGAGTGCCTGGAGAGAACCACCGACCTTTGGTAGGAAAACTAACAATCCTAGTCAATTAAGGTTGAAGTCAAGCGCACCTGACATGTGCGGAATTCGAACTCACAACCTCAGTGTTAACAGGCTATTGGTACAGTAGTTCGACTACTTATACCACTCGGCCACCATGGCCCCTTCCACAACAGACTAAATATTATTATTCATAAGTTTGATAATATATATATTCATTACATTCACCTTCAGGGTGTTGTGAATATCTTATGGTAGTTATTAGTACACTGATCAATTACTTTTTTCTTTAAATTCTTCATTTTTTTTATAATTTTTTCAAGTATTGACTATCTGTTTTTTTTTCCAATATCTCCTTTTTTATTGTCTTTCCTTGTTTTGACATACACTGTAATATTCCCTCTAGAAATTCAGCAACAGACAATTTTTAAATTTTTGAACAAAAACTTATTGAGATACTGAGATAAAATCAAATAAAAGTAAACTGTCTCCTTAAATACAATTCATCAATTTAAAAGGTATGTCTTCATTTTGTCAATAAAATAAGCAACAAATTTATTGTGTCAATAAAATGTCATTTTAAATGTTTTAAAAGGAATGTAAATATTGTGTAATATTTGATGTCATAAAAATGATTTTTATTTATGATACATGCATTTATTGAAAGCTTAAGATGATAAGATTAAATCAAATGAATGCCATGCACACTCAAGCAAAGAAATGTTATCATTCATAGTAATATGTGATGTCATGTTTATGAATTCATGAATTCATGCAAAATGAATAATGATTTATTACAGTAAAATTATCACACAAAACTTATCAGATACTAAACAAGAAAGGTATATGCAGCAAGAACTTTTGACAAGGTCAAATTTCATCACAAAGTATTATTTTGTCTCTCCCACCAACTTAAAAGTTAAATGTATTTATCATGCACACACATATTTAAAAAAAAGTTCTTCAGCAATTAAGTTATTAGCTAACATGCAAAAAAATATATGTTATAAACCAAATAAGGAACTATCTTATGCTATATTCATATCACACTCTTATCCATTATTGGATGCTAAAAATATCAACAATCTATTAAAGGAGACTGCGATAAATTTAAACAAGATGCGCTTGCTAATTCACTACTAACAGGGGGCATGCTACCAATTGAGCATGCATGCTCCATATATTGTACCTTCTCGCTCAGTTTGCTTTCCACCATATCTTTGTCTAATATAATTTCCTTCAACTCTCCTATTTTAGATAAATATTCCTGAGTCTGTCGCCTAGCACTATTTTCTTTTTCCTCCGCCTTTAATGTCCTCTCTCGTAACTGAGATTCACTCTGTTCCAACTCAGCTAATGTATTTTCTGTTAACTTTAATTTTTCCCGCAGCTGTTTTTCAGTAACATCAAACTGATTTACTTGATCTTGTAAACTTCTATAAAGTGTCATGATTTGGAGTAATTTATTCTCATCTTGCTCAAGCTCCTCTTGTCTAACACTACTGTTATGCAGTTCATTTTTAAGCGACACATTTCCTGCATGCATTTTGCATACCTCTTGGCTAAGCATATTAAGATGAAGTTTCAGCTGTGACAAGTCACTGGAGGACATGTTTTGAGTGTCAAAAATACGACTCAGTGTGAAATCTGTTTCACGACTCAATGTTTCAAAATCAACACAGTTGTCTGCAAATGCATTGCCATGATCGGAATTTGACATAAAGGAAAGATTTGCATCGCCACTTAAGTCCAAGCTAGTATTGCTCATTTCTCTCGAGGAGTAATTTGAGTCAAAAGAACCAGCTCTATGTCTTGGAGAGGCCTCTCCGCCATCTTCGTCGACCTCTTGAACCTGTAATATCAGTGTTAAATTGGCAGGTTAGGTTAGTGGGTGTTATACCAAACACCAAATAAACCTAGTCCCAGCATGTATCAATACCCAATGTAATGAATTATAGTTGATGTTTCATGCAAATGAAATGAATAATAATGATATTGCTTTAAAGAGGGTCTAAAAGTATACATTGTAATAATAAAGTCTATTTAACTAGCTTATACAGTGTACCTGAAGTCTTTTGTAGAAGTTAGATAAAAGTGATGCAGTTTATTTTTATAAAGCATGAAATCAATGAAAGAAAGCATGATTGAATTATCTGAATTTATTGGAAAATATTTCTTCTTTTAATCATTTCTGTATTTATACCCTCTTTTTAGCATATAATACTGGTAATGGATATTTGACTTTTTAAATAATTAATTACAAATCAGACAAAAAAAAGATGTGATTAAATTATTCACAACAAAATGTTAGGTGCTTAAATATTTAAAATATTTGAAAAATGGGAGCAAAAAGATTTATGAATAAATAATATGTGTAATTATCTCCCCTTGACCTCATTCACCACAAATATTGAATTCAATAATAGGTTTAAATTTTGTTCAATGAATAGATATACAAAATTTAAACCTATGTTTTTTTTCAAATAAAAGTACATAAAATGTGTACATGAAAAGAACAAGATGATACAGCACAAATGACTTTAAGCTTTGAAATATATGTAACTGATTAATATCAAATTATATCAGATGAGCAAATTTTGGAATAATTATGAACCTTTCTAGAAATCTTCTACACACAACACTGAATATGTATACTTAAACATGAATTTATCTATTGTTCAAAAACGAAATGTGCAATTAGCATCAAATAAAATACAACCCTTAATGTTAAAATAAGGTACATGAAAGCAATCAAAATTTAGAGAGAAAAATAAAGTGACAAAAAAATCTAGTACATACAATAGCAAAGGTCAACAGGTAGTTACTGTTTCCAGTTATAATTGTTTAATATTTGTTTGCTTCCTTTAGCCAGCTAAATGAACTTAAAATTCAGGTGGTATTCAAGTCAAACAGACACTTTAAAAAAAAAAGTCAATCCTAAACATTAGATTGTGATATTTGAGTAACTAAGAATTATTTTTTAAAATATCCCAAAAGTGTGCTTCTTACAAAAAAAAAAACAACCATAAAAATTTCCTCTTCAACTAGAAAGATTCATAATAACTCTAAAGTGGATGATTGATGACAGAAATCTAACAATACCTTAGCTTCCATCACTTCCATTTGTTCCCTCTCTTCCAAACTCCCATGATGCTTTAGTTTAGTTTCCATTGTTTCTTTCTCCTGTTGTAAAGTAATAACTTTCTGTTGAAGTTCATTTGCAGTCTGCTCTAGACTTTGGACATGCTAAAAGGAAATAAGAAAAACTATAATTGTTATAGTTTTCTTAAAAGATCATGGATTTGCAATAGTTTCACTTTGTAATGTAAAAGTTTAAAAAATCATTTTGTCAGTTTCCTAAATTGATGTCATACTATGAATATTTTTATCCACTGATGTAAGTGAAATAGGTGAACTAAAATTCATAGATAGGATACTGGGAATTTGGGATATACTTTTAAATCACTCATATATTTCAAAGTAAAGCACTCAAAATTATGAAAGGAGCCAACATAAAAGGAGCCAACATTTATCTTCTTAGCAAAAATGATTTGAGTAAATTAGTATGACAGTTTTCCTATTAAAAACTAAAATTAAAGGGATCTCGTGATCAAAGATATCCCAACCCTAGACAAAACTCTTGAATGGTAAATATTTACTGTTAAAAAGGAACTTGAAATAGTGTTTGAATTTAAACATATTCTGTCAGTTGAACATTAAGTATCATCCAGAAACCAGACATCACATTCTTAAAGGTAACTACTAAGGGGCATAACTCTCAGATGGTAAGTGTCAAAACAATAAAAAATTGTGCTTGACCTGTATTTTGTGGTCCAACACATTGTGTTCAAATTCAGAAGTTTTAAGTGGTCCATCATTATGGTTTTAACTACTTACATGTCTAAGACGTGCTGTATTAGTCTGAGGTATTGCGAAAGGCTAACAGTGCCTGCCATCAGAGGCGGATTTAGAGGGTTTTTCAGGGGGCCCGGGCCCCCCTTTTGGGGAAAAAATTGGCTGATTATATAGGGAATCACTGAAGCATGACTGGAGCAGGCCCCCTCTTAGGCAGTCAGTGGGCCCCCACTTATGAAAATTTCTGGATAGCCACTGGCCATCCAATTATCTAATACTCAGCAAATATGCAAATTATCACATGATATGTTTATCTAATAACATAAAAAGTTCTTTTATTCTGTGTAAAAGGCTGTTTTGAAATATTGTTTGTTACATTTGTTTCCAATAAAAACCTATATTGGCTTTATTTTCTGAAATAAAATATTTCCATCTTGTTTACCTGAACTAATTTGTCTTTGTCCATGTTTTCAATGGTAGAGTTACTATCCATGTTTATATCAACTTCACCAGGTTCTTCCAGAATGGTTTCCAACACACCACTCTCATGGTAGCTGTCTGGAATCTGAAATATAAACAGGAGATAAGTATACAAAGCTTACACAGAATGGTTTCCAACACACCACTCTCATGGTAGCTGTATGGAATCTGAAATGAAGACAGGAGATAAGTATACAAAGCTTACACAGAATGGTTTCCAACACACCACTCTCATGGTAGTTGTATGGAATCTGAAATGAAGACAGGAGATTAGTATACAAAGCTTACACAGAATGGTTTCCAACACACCACTCTCATGGTAGCTGTATAGAATCTGAAATATAGACAGGAGATAAGTATACAAAGCTTACATAGATTGGTTTTCAATACAGGGAAAAGTCTTTAACTGAACCCCTGTGGAAAAAAAAGAGTAAACCCTAATGGATTGGAATTATAAAACAATTGTTGATTAACTTTTGTATTGATAGCTTTTGTAGATTGGCAAATGTAGAGTAACTAATTATCTTTAAATATCATGTTTTTTAAATTTATATATTTTTAATTGAGAAGTGCCATATGTAAAATCAGAATCAGTGCACATGATCTCAAAATAGAAAGAGACAGGTATAAAACTTTATATATAGAAAGAGACCAAAGGCTTTGTAAGAAATGTACTCTAAATCTGGTTGAAGATGAACAACATTTTATTACTAGTTGTCCAGCATACAATAATGATAGGGAGATATTTTTCAAGGAGATAAACTGCATCTGTCCCAATTTTATATATCTTTCAAATGAGGCAAAATTTGTTTGGTTATTTACTAATGAAAATTTGTCTATACTTAAATATTTAGGGAGCTATATTATTACATGTTTAGATGTTAGACGAAATGTTAATTAATGTATGTAATAACAATGATAATTGTAATGATTTTATAGTTCTGATCCTGCCTGGAATTAAATGTATGTGATTTTTTATAGAATGAAGATAATAACATCTGTCTGAACTTTTTAATGTTTCATTTTAATATATAAAAATGTTTTTCTGTTACAAATCATGATGTATTGTTTTATGTGAACATGTTATGCTGCCCATCAAGGGCCCTTGATTGGAATAATAAATATTCTTATTCTTAATCTTATTATTTCATTCTCTCTGAACACAATGCTGATAAATTTGGGTATATTAACATTACATACACATATTATATTCCTCCCTAAAGTTAGGAAGGGTTTAATTTTTTTTTTAAAACAATCAGGTAAATTTCATGGAAAGAACTGTTTAGGTAATAATAAATTCTGAGAAAAAAAACTTGGCTTCCCAGAGTTTTCAGGTATACAGTTTTTATTTTCCATACTGAATGTAATATACTGCATATTGTATCAATTAAATGCTCTTCTAACTTCAGCCTCACAATTGAATCTGAATTGAAACTTTATGATTTCTTGCAATCAACAATTATAAACTGAAATGATTCAATAACATATGTACTCTTCTAATAATAAAACTAACTGAACCTTAATCTTACTTATAGTCTAAGATTCCAGAGCACTTTGTTTTTTTAATATTCTGCTGGAAAAGAATGTAATGTTATGTAACTTTCTTGGCATTACTTTTTGTTCTAATAAGAAAATGTGCTGAGTCAAATCATCTAAAAGCATATGATCAGGAACTTAGCAATTGTTATTAAAAACATTGCCACAGTTCATTCCAAACATTTATTTTCAATCTTTAAGTTTTTTAAGTCAATTTTAAATAGCACTTCATTCTATAGTCTGAAATTGTCTCGCAAGTAGAAATTAAAAAAAACTTTAAATTAAACATAAAAACTTTCGTACCATCTTATATTTTCATAGTTATCTTTTTAATTACAACCAGAGATTTAAGGAATAACAGTACTGTAGTTGAAGAGATACCGCCATCAATTGGTGTATTGACGGTGGCAAATGCAGTTTTACTGGCAACTAGTCTTTGAATAATTGTCAATTTTAACTATTTTTATCAACAGGGAGGGTCCTCAGTCCAGTAAGAATTATATTTCTAAAACTTGTATTTCATTTGATACAAACATATCAGAATTTTGATACTTCATCAAATTACCTATACAGAATAACAATACTCAATCACTTTTAGGTGGAAATGTGAGAAAAGCATCAACTTAACTTTATTATAAACCATAGCAAAGTGTCAAAATGAACTCAAGCCAAAAGATGTCAGAAGGTACATTAAGCTTATTTGGGGTAATCTATTTACCTATGGGTTCATCTTTTAGGTCCGCTGACCTTTGAAGATGTTAGTTTAGGAGGTCTGATGACCTTTATATTTTGTTTAATTGTCAACTTACCAAGACCTAACTGGTATTTTGATCTAAACATCTTAATAATAAGATTTTATCATTATAAACAGTGTCAAAACAGGCTAAACAGCTTGGATCAATGAATAAGAACTATACAAAGATATTATATCCTCTTATTTAAACATTTTAAGTTACAAATATATTTGTTTGTTTAGAAATCTCACGTTCTTATGTATAAAAGAAACTGACCTTACCAGTAATTATTTTTCTATAACGCCATCCTCTTATCGTGAATGAAACTAAATATGTCCAGATCAGTAGCTATGAACGGGGATTATTTCATGAAGGTAACATAAGTTATATCTACCTTGAAGGGAATTGTATAGACAGGAGGCAATATTACCTACATGATTTATGGGAAAACTCATTCTAATTCAAGACTAGTAGCAGTAGGCAGGGTAGTATGAAACTCCAATATTTTTTGGGGGGGAAATAATAACCAAAACATTAAGCTAGCAATTATTGGCTGCATAATTCAGCATCAGTCAATTATAAAGATTTAATCAATTTGTAAAAACCTTAATATATAAATAGACAGATGTGTTTGTGTCTGGACAGTTTACCATCCAAATAATGAAAAGTTCAAATTAGTTTTTGGAGATTTTCTATATTTCAAAAAAAAAAATAAAACCAGAGGAGATGCTACTGTCCCAAAATTTCTGAAATTCTTAGCAGATTTATAAATAATTCTAGGAATAAAAAACATAAAATAAACAACACTGTCAGAAAGGCTAGATTTACAACTTTTGTCACATACTAATTTATAGAAATACTAGAAAAATAATGGGGTTTCTCAATTACATTCCAATAGTATAAAACTAAAGCAACACCGATTGTATGATAGCTCATTTTAGTGACCATAAAATTTGTCAATTTATCAGTCATGAAAAAACTATTTATAAACTAGCTATAGATTGATCAGGATTGAAAAGTTATGTAATTTTCACAACTGAGAAGAGATGACTAAGTTTTAGCAATTACAAATGTCACAGTTTATCTGATCTCAAACAAACCAGATACTATTTCATTCCTTGTTTACACATTTACAACTTATCTCATTCTAGCAATGTAAAATTCCACTCCTTTAAGAAATGTTTTAATGTAAAACCTGGCTTATTCCTCCAATACAAACTCTTTGTTTTCAAATTACATGAACAATAACAAAACAACAGAAACATTCCATTGCCTATCCTGCAACATTTAGTGGAAAGGATGTCCTACAGTAAATTTTAAGACTTTTTAAAACAATTCATCTTCAAAGAGTAAATAGATTTTATTTGCCTGCCGTCTTATCTTTTGTCAGATTTGGTCTAATAAAGACAGCACAGAATGACAATACAGCTTGCTATAACAGCCCTTCTTAAAAACAAATCCAGAATTTTTCTTGACCCTGTGTTCAGTCATAACAAGAATAGGTATACCATCAATAATAATTTTTTTTTAAATTCACTGCACTTTGCTCTTGTTGGTCTTGTAAAGATGGTTTGCAGCAGTGTATTAAAAATAGAAAAAACTTAAGAAGTGTTCTTCTACACTTGAAAATAGACTCTGGGGAAATTTAGAGAGCTTGACATATTTTATAGACACCTGTATACATAGTTGATGACTATGTTGCCTTCAAGGTGTCCTAAAGTTATTTTTGTTGGGTTTCTGTCTTCTAATCCTCACATCTCTTTTATATCTATATAATAATTACTGTCATTATAATGACTTAAATTAAGATGTACATGTTAGTAATTTTGTAGCCACCAGGTTCTTCTTATAGTAAAATTGTATAAAACTGACCTGAAAATCCATGTGTAAAAATCACCCCATTGTAGTAGCATAGTAAACTGTATGTGTGCTGAGAAATAATTATCGTAATAATTTTGTCAGCTGTCTTTTGTGGTGGGTAATGTTATTATTACAGTTTGTCGATTATTATACTGATACTGTAACAAAAAGACATTTAATGTAGAAATTTAAAATCCTCCTAACGTAGGTCAATAATTACCATTGTATTAACGGCCATAGGGTTGATGGCAGATCTTTTCCTTTAATCAAAATGTTCACCTGTGCTAAGGATTTTTTTTTTGGGTACATTTTTCGGTGAAATATATCACCATGATAAAATTTAATACTTCATTGATGTGATGTTTTTTGTATATTTGTCAGCACATGGTATGATATATTGATTTCAAAGATTTGCATCTGTTATCAAGGGGAATGTAAATACAGACATATTACATGTCAAATTAAAACTTTACAACAAAACTACTGTTATGGCATGTTTGGTAAAGTGTTTTATTCTCTTGTTCAAAACAGGTGAAGAATTTTTGTTGGTTATTGTTCTCTTACAAATGTCAACAATTATACAAAAATATATGTACTTAACTACATTATTACTTCCTACTCCTTACGTAATAATACATGCAAGGAAGTCTTCCGATTATCAAGCCACACTAAGATCATATATGAAGAGAAGAGAGCCCCTTAGCCCTGATTCAACTATTTACTCATGAGGAATTCAAGCCAGATCATGATGCAACCATCTGATTATCAGAGTCTTTGCTGATATTAAAGCAGGGAATTTTTTGCAACAAAACTTTAAACTCCTTCACAATAATCTAATCTTTAAAGGTTTCCATCAGTTTTGATCCAGTCTTAAGTTATCAATATATTTACCAGCAGAGAACACTAACTTTTAAGATCATCAGCTTAACCTTAACTAGTAAAGGAGTACTAAACA